TGGTTTTTATTAAACATAGGAAGTTCTCCCATCCCCACAGTATCATACAAATAATGATTCACTCACCTGAGCAATTCCGTGAGCCTCCTGGTAGTTGATCCTCGCTAGATTTGTTGCAGTTGTATTAATGAAAAAATATCCTGATCCTTCCTTGAGTGAAAGCTCTGCCTTTTAACCAGAAAAAGATTGAAAGCTCTAAGTTAACAAAAACAATCTTATTTGAGCATATATCTCAAAAAGAAAGTAACACATCTTTACCTTAACATTAGGATGGTTGTAAATGGTGACATTGTCCGGGATAACTTTGACATCTTCCACAAGCAACAATTCAATTGTAGCAGATACAGGGATCAATGGATCATACTATTATAAGAAGAGAGAATCAATAAAGTTAGAATACCCAATATTCATCGGTTAGAAGCTTCTAACCGGATAATAAGTAAACAATGACAATACAGTATTAGGGTTTAAACGACTCGTCATTAAAAAAACATCCGTTGCCCAAGTCTGCACTGAGTTGTTTTACTCCAACTAGTTAACATACCACAGATTTAACATTAGCTGCATTGAGATGTTCCTGCTGATAGCCTGTTGCAGTTGCAGTAATAGACGTAGTCCCAGATTCACGATGAACCAGCACAGTTTGTAAACCTGATTAAAAAGATAAAGTAAAATGCACCATCCAAATAAACAAACTATTCCATTTTAACAATATATACCAACAAACTTTTAATCATATCAATACCATGTTGTTTCTTTTGTCCATTTCCATGATCCTTTTCATTCATTTGCATAGGCATACTGAGCTCAATGCTGGCTAGGGAAAGTTTTGATGATTCCCAAATAATGCTAAGGGAGGAAAAGTTATCAAATCTACGTCCTTGCTGATCATATGCTTCCAAGTCGAGGACTGGGTTACGATAGTTTGATACAGGAACCTAGAAGATAAAAAAGTATTACAATGTAATATTTTGAAACAATTTGAAATTAAAGGTCCAACATAAAAATAAAAGTCCAATTAACTGCACTGACTTGACATGCATGTAGCAATTGCAGTTGGGTAACAGTATTGGGACTTGACTAGAAATCCAGAACCTATGGACATGTGTTTGAATCCTATCATGTGGATGGTGAAATTTTAGTTCAATCAATATCCGAAATTAAAAAGCTAATCCAAATGACCATGTAACCAAGGTCGATTATTATAAAAACTCATCTGGTTTACTAATGTTGCTTAGTGAAGGAAGTCTGACATCGCTCCCTGGCTTGGCCTGGCCTACATGTGACTCCACTCAGCAATGTGGCTGACTCTTAATTGCCCTTTGAGAAGTTAGGGATGAGCAATAAATCCTGGCTAGCCAGTGACGCCCATATCCCACAAATGGAAAAAAAAAGTAAAAACCAAGTGTATTAAATATCTGATCGGAACGTGGTAACCATTTTAGAAACATAAACAAAATATTTTTTTCCTTTATTCATTCCGTGGCGTTGGCTGGCTGGACAAGGATTTATTGCCCATCGGTCATCATTAGACTCTCAATTCCAGATATTTATCGAGTTCAAATTCCACCATCTGCCGCGGTGGGATTCGAACCCAGGTCCCCAGAATATTACCTGGGCCTCTGGATTAACAGTCTAGCGATAATGCCATTAGACCATTGCCTCCCCCCCATTGCAATCGAAACATTCATTTTTCAATTTTACAGCACATCAAATAGAGACTTACAACTTGTTTATTTTGTTGAAGCAAAGGACATGATAAATCCAGTTGAGGATTCAGGTATATCGGAGTCAAAGTGAGCCTAGATGGGGGAGCACAAATAAACTTGACAACAGCTGGTTCCACTGCAGGCAAAGTATTTTTTAGACTAGGTTTGTTCCCCACTGTCAAAGCCAACACCTAAGGGAGAAGAAAATACACACAATACATAGTTTAGAGTGACAAACATCAACCAATGGAGCTGACATATTCCTTAAATCAGGAGGGAAACAGTAGCTTTTCTTAATCAAAGATCACAAAAAATTATAGATATTACACAGACTGATTAAATTCAGCATTGTACAGACAGCATTGAAAATGTACAGACATTTTCTTGTATTTGGTCACGATACGTGAACTTTGCTGAAAAAGCCAGCATTTAATTCTTATTCCGAAAGGTTCTCAAGAAGGCAGCAGTGAGTTGTCTTCTTGAATCATATTGTCAGTAAAAACTACAGTACCATTAGGAAGGGAGCTTCATGGTTTTGACCCAGCCAAAAAACATATACAACATTCTGACGTGGGACTGAGACACGTTTTGGAAACCTGCACATGGTTTCCATGAGATTTCACAGAATCAGGAAATTCGACCTAACTTTTTTCCACAGTGGTGTTTTTGCTCAGAGAACTTCCACCCAATTTTCCTTACTTATATCTACCACTGAATCCCTTTATGCACTCAGCACTTCTGATGATGATTTAAAGAGATGGTCCTTCCCTTGTTCTTTTATATGGCAAACATTGCAAGTTTCGAAGCTTTTGTTGAAGAACCATTTACCAAGTTGCTATAGTGCATCTTTATATGATATACACTGCTTTCACTGTGCATTGATGCTGTGAGGGAGGAAATTAATGACTAGCTACTGGAGAGGGTACCTGTCCTTTTAATAATCCTTTGAATATGCCTATTCAATGACAACTGCCTTGGACTGTGTTGTGCTGCTCTCATCCCAGCAAGTGGAAAACATCCGTTATTCTCCCAAGTTGTACCTTGAAGATAGTGGACAGGCAGTGGAATAGGGAGCAGATTACCTCAGAATTCCCAGCAACTGATGTGGGTTTATGGCCAGAGCATTTCCAGTTACACTTCTGGACAACGGTAACACCCCAGGATCTGATGGTGCAGATTTATTAATTGTAATTGCCATGGAATAAAGGGGAAGGTAATCATATTGTTTCCTGTTGAAGATAGTAATTGCCTTGCATTTGTGCGTTGGCAAAGTTACTTGACACTCACGAGCCCAAACCTGTATGCTGTGCTAGGACAGTACCCCGAAGAATTCCTACAATGTCCTTTGCGCTACTTAGGATTCCAAACATTGTAGGGCACTCTCAAAAAATAAATGCAAAAAGACTAAATATAGTCAACATATTATTGTACAATTTTACAGCACGGAGGAAACTGCTGTACAGCTTAAGTTTAGTAATACAAGATACAGAGAAAGATTTTTTCTTACCTGTTCTCCCAATGCTGTACAAGTAGCTCTCACTACATGCTTAGGTTGATTTCTAAATGCTGGGGAGCTAACCAGGTGAAGAATAATACTTCCTTCATTTTCAGCTGTAAGATCTCTAAAGAACTTTGAGGGTTCCAAGACCCAGGGCCTGGGACCTCCTTCAAATAGCATATCCTTCGAGGATCCCAAAGTTACCAAGGCAACAGATACTGGATCAACAGCCTGAATTTTTTTTAAAAATGGGCAGATAAAAATGATATGGGTTATCACTATTTCAAAATTCAGATTTTCTGCAAATTAGTAATATGAATGCAAATTAAGTTTTGTGCTGAAACTTTATTTCAATGCATTTTTATTTCAAAACCATGGTTTATGAATTACAACTAATGGAAAACCATTGCTGAAATACAAGTTCTGGTCATTTGAATATTTTAGAATTACACAATATCATGCAAAAAACTAATGTTGAATCTAGCAGAGGTAACTTCTAAATATGGCAAGTACTGTATAATAAACAAAGGTCAGTCTGAATAAAAGAGGACTATGCATTTATCATCCAGAACGATAACAAGTAATGTTTCACATTAGAGTTTGTGAAAATTAACTTGACAATAAAGTGTACATATATGTTAGGAGCTTGCAGCTGTAGAGGCTTTTTTTTGTTGTTGACAGGGAGGGATTTAGAAGAAACAATGTCGTGACTTTCAAGTAGAGCAGTCAAGGGACCAAGAGTAGGTTAGACAGCATCTCCAATTGCTTGGGCCAATTAATAAGATCATGATTTGTCTGTTCCTTTGAATATGCAGTTATTAAGAATTGGCAAGTCCCAATATTTGTATTCCTTCCTTCTGTGTTGCTTGCATCCATAAATCAAGAGGAGTTGCTATTTAATAAGATAAGAGCTTGCAGACAAGCGAGTAATATTTCTTCATTCCCTGCATGGATTTCAGTCAGGTAAGTGACGTATCACTAAATTTTGCCTGAACTAGGTTTTGTACCAAGTTGACTGCAGGATTATTTTAGAACTCCACAAAATATTTGTGCAACTGATTGTTAGATACTACTACATCTCTGAATTTGTAATTAAGAACTGTTTGTTCCAATCAATAAGGACACTGGTAACTTGATGTGTTACAATGAATTCACATTCAGTCAATTTTCTTCAGTGCCCATAGTTATTATTTTGTAATCATGTTCTTAAGCTCTTCCCAATGCTTTCAAGACAGTCCAAAGATGTTCCAAAGTACCTTCTCTGAACGAAACATTTAAAATTCTCTTCATTTAGTGTGAATGTATGAGCAGTCAACAAGTCCCCTCTTAGTTGTTTTGACAAAATTCAAGTATTCATTTAATATACAATTTATAGAGCTGTTTTGACACAGATCACTTAACACTAGCCAACTTGATCAATTGTTACAACTATAATAATTTCATCATATTTAGTGGATTAATTACTTCAAATAGAACATTAATGTTAAGTAATCAATAATATAATTTTTCTCCACGCCATAATGCATCCTTTGCCTATACAATGATGTTATGTATATGCAAACCCTTTCCTTGACCGCATACATTAAAGATGAATTAAATTAAACTTTCTATCACACAAATCAACTGTTAAATCACTTGCACACAGCAAATAAATTGAGGCCACTAGCCATAAAAACTCCTTTACTACTGCTTTCTGATTTGTGCTACAGATATTGGGTCAGCACTATCTGGTCAAAACATTCACTTCTTTTTTGTCTTCTAGATCTCTACTTCATCAAAATTAAAGCAGTAGCTGGTATTTCATATGCTTCTCCTACTACCCTCAATATATGCCCATGCTACATCACAGGCTGTATTATTGACTTAGCAGTCTATTACAGCTATGTTTTTAAGAGGTCCACATAACAATGAAGGAGTGATCATGTAAAGCAATGTCATACCAGAAATCAGTATGCAAATTTTTACCTTCCATGATAGAAGTTCTACATAAAAGGTATGTTGATATAAAAAGTTGTCCCACAGAGAATCACAACACTGCAGGTGATTATTTTTCATAGTACTCTTAATTTAAGATGGGTTAGGGAGCTCCTTGAAAATCCACAAATATTTGGAAAACTGTTAAATTTCCTCATGAACACGAATACCCATTATGAACACCATTTCGGACTCGGATTGTTCAGAATCTTGGTGCCCTGATTATTGACAAACCAAGCGTTCAACTCCTTATCCTCATCCTCACTCAAGACTTCCCACTTCCAAATCTCTAACAGTGGATACCCTTTCCTCACTTCAGTCCATCGGTCCCTGAAGAAACGTCAACCTGGTCACCTCCAGACAAAATTAATCCATACTATCTCGATCAGTTCTCCATTTTCTATCAATTATCTCTGCAGCTTACAATCCATTTCATGCCAAGACCAAATTGCCCTTTGTCTTGGTGTTATTTTGGCTTACTATTCCTTAAGGATTTGAAATTTGTGGTCTAATTTTCAATTTTGAATGGCTTCACCTTACCCCCATCTCTAACCTGCTCCATCTCCATAATCTCTTCCAAACTTAGTGGCTCTGACTAGTGCCTGATGAACCCGTTATTATCAGCCGTGCTTGAACCTCATGATACTATACTTCGGAACTCCCCCCTGCAGCCTCAATTGTACCGGTTCTTTATTTTTTGTTGTCACAGCCCTTCTTAAAAATAAGGTTTTCATTTTTAAACTTCTTTCCTAACTCCTATTGAACTGGATAACAGTTTTCCTTGCACCTCAGGATTTGCCTTGGGAGAATATTAAAACTTGATAAACAAAAGCAAGATGTGTAAATTTACACAAATGGCAACACTAAAATGACTGCAACTGTGGAGAGACTCAAACATTAGGTTATGATGATTGGTACAGAGTAGAAACAGTTGAGGGGGATGGGCACAGCCATAAATACAAACCTTGTATTGTTAATACTTACTTTGAGCGGCACATATGCAACAATAGTGATGGAGGTTGTAAGGTACACATGACCATGACTATAGCTAACCACAAGAGTTGTGTAACCCTGAGCCTCCGCTTGAACTCTTATTCCACTGCAGTGTGTAGGGCCTGGGTCCAGTCTCCCTGGTAACAAACAAGTTTTATAAAAATAGCCTTTATAAAAATCTTAAAAACAAATATAGACATACAACCTTGAGATTTATACGAGAGAGGCTGGAAAAGCACTGCAGCATCAGAGCTGTCTGACCTGCTGTGCTTTTCCAGCTTCACACCTATAGACTCTGGCTTCGAGCATTTGCAGTCCTTTTGTCTCCAACCTTGAGATGCTATGTAACAATACTATATCTGATCATTTGTTCTAATATTTGGATTGGAGTGTTGAATAAACAGAATACATTTCCTTTTGAGCAAAGGTAAACTCTTCCCATTCAAGAACATATGGTAACACCGAATGAAAAAAGATTGTTTGAATATTCAAGCCCATTTGCTCCATTCAGCATACATAAGTCACTCCATGATAGATGGTATTAATATCATTTAAACAGTAGGAAATTTTTAATGGGAATTTTCTATCCTGCCATAAATTTCCCAAGTGTGAAACTGTATAAAGTAGACAGATTTATACTGATTGAAAATGGGTCATTATAACATATACATCCACCTTGGTTAAACAGGTATGCACAAATCAAACTAAAAATGAGCCCTATGACTCAATTCACTGGATGTCAATAGCCAGGGTTAAGCAAAAACACATACCACATTCTATATTGGGAATGCTGCCTCACAATTTAGCTATGAACTTTATGATGCAGGTTTCAAAACAAAGTATGGTTGGTACTAACCAACAATGGTAAAGAAACTTTACAAGCAGTCTTCAAAAGTACATCGTCCCCTCCTGATAACCCAAATCAATATTCCTTCCTCCCTGCTGAAATCCTAAAGCTCTTTGGTGGGATATGAATTTACAGACAGCAGCACCTCCAAATACTTTACTCAAACCAAAAGTCATTTGTGTGTTTTTCAGAGTTTCTCAATGAGCTATTTCAATGGGGTTGTTAGTTGGGGAAAGAAGAGAGAAAAAGGACAGCGTTAACACCAAACCCAATGCTGAGTGCACCCCAAAGTCAATAAACAATAAAGATTCCTGGCTAATCTTTGCCTCCCTAAGTTGGGAGCAGGTAGGTCAACTGTCCTGAGAAAGGGTCACCAGACCTGAAACGGTAACTCTGATTTCTCTTCACAGATATTGCCAGACCTGCTGAGTTTTTCCAGCAACTGCTGGATTTGTTTCTGATTTACAGCATCCACAGTTCTTTTGTTTTTTTTTTAAAAACTGTTCCTTCACAGTGGTGGCTAGCAATAGAAGCTGGGACCTTCCTGGCTTGCAAGGTTCAGTGGCCTGCTAAGTAAACTTCCAAACACCCACAAAAATAGTTTTCCTTGAAGATACATGACAAAGTAAAATATCTTATTGGCAATCAAGAAAAGCAGTGTAATTAAAACTAATACTAAACAAACTTGCATTACAAATTTAATTTTTACACAATGGTGAGTTACATCGTGAAAACAGAGAAGATCTAGATGACATTGACAAGGATGATTCCTAACTTGATGAACATCTGCTACTCCAAAAGCAGCAAGGATCTTGGAGCTGTTTATGTCCCTTTTGTCTGATTTCAGGAGATATAAATAGGCTGAATTACAATAACACCTCAATTTTCAGCTCAGTCCAGACCATCAAAAGAACAATAGAATCAGAAGTTACATTTTGTGCAGCCCATTACAAAATATATAAAAGACTGCATTAGTGCCCCTACTGATAAACTTCTCCAGAGTTATAATTTGGGAGTACTGGGGACACAAAATTAAACAATGTCAGATTAAGACTGGACTGAATGATAAGCTTCTTTCAAAGAGTCGTGAACCTCTGTAATACGTTATTGGCTGATGTGGTGACTGTGGACTGTGTGCGTCTTCAATATATACTTAAAACTCTTGCAATGAAGGGCAATACACCATTTGCCTTCCTAATTACTTGTCGCACCTGTGTGCTTGTTGTATTTAAGTACTCGCTTATCAGATGTGGGCATTGTTGGCACTTACTGCCAAAGAGCGCAGTTAAGAATTAACCACACTGCTGTGGATTTGGAGTTACATAGATTAAACCAGGTAAGGGTTACAAATTTCCTCCCCTAAAAGGGACTTTAGTGATGTTTACAACTGACAAACATTAGATAGTCACCATTAGGCTAGTGTTTTATTCCAGACTTTTACGGAATACAAATTTCACCATCTACCATGCTGGGATTCGAACACCTGTCCCCAGAACATTAGACTAGGGCTAATGTTACTTGTCTAATTACTATTATCACTACATTGCTGCCTCCCTGCAATTCGATCAGCCATGACTTTATTAAATGGTAGAGCAGGCTAGAGGGGTTGAATGGCCTACTTCCAGCTTACATTAAAATGCATGTACTGCAGTTCCTGCACAATCACTATTTCGCTTTCCAGTCGCGATAACATTCATATGGCCATTGATTTACTCAACAGTAACCTCATCTCCACCTTTGATGCCCTAGTCCTAAATAAAGCCATTACTCATTCTCAGCTTGGTTATTTCCCAGCTATGCCACTCACCCCTGACTCCTTAAGCCTTGCATTATGATCCTAAAAGAAGTAGCTAGAGATAGTGGATGCATTGGTTGTAATTTTCTCCAGAATCCAATGATTTTTTGGAAGTATGATGACTGAAAACTGCCAACGTGACACCCCTATTCATAAAGAGGGGCAGCAGTAAAAATCATTAGCTTAACATCTATTGATGGGAAAGTGTGGGTATAGAGTGTTGTAGTGAACTTTCAGATGGTTAAGACATTAGAGCCCATGCTGTTGGAGGTAGTATATTGGCATGGATAGAGAATTAGCAAATGGGCAGGGAACAGAGGGGAATAAGTGGCTCTTTTTCAGTTTGGTGATCTGTAGCCAGTGGGGGTCCATTAGGACAGCAACAACAGTTTACAACATACATTAGTTACTTGGAGGAAGGATGCAAATCTACGCAGCCAGATTTGCAGACAACACTAAAATAGATGGAAAGGCAAGTTGCGAGAGGCAAGAGAAACAGCTTACAGAGGGATATTGATTGGTTAAGTAAAAGGGCAAAAATTTTGCAAATGAAGTAGAATGTGGAAAAATGTGAAGTTATTCATTTGGAATGGAAAACAAAAAAGAATATTATTTAAATGCTGAAAAACTACAGAAAGCTGCAACGCAGAGCAACTTGGGAATACTTGTGCATCAGACACAGAAAGCTAACACGTAGATGCAGGAAAGGTGAATGGAATGGTGGCCCTTATTTCAAGAGGCATTGAGTGTAAGAATAGGGAAGTTTTACTGCAAATCCACAAGGTTTTGGTGAGACCACATTTGGAGTACTGTAAGCAGTTTTCATCCCCTTATCTAAAGATATAATTTTGTTGGAGGAAGTTCAGAATGATTCCCAGTATAGAGGGACTGGCTTCTGAGCAAAGGCTAAAGAAGTTGGAACTATACTTACTGGAATTCAGAAGAATTGGAGGTGATCTCATTAAGACATATAGGATCCTTAAAGGGCTTTGACAGGCTAAGTGCTAGGACAATGTTTCCTCTCCTGGGAGAGTCTTGGACCAGAGGGCATAGTCTCAGAATGAAGGGGGCAACAATTTAAGATCCAGATAAGGAGGAATTTCTTCTCTCAGGAGGGTTGACTGTGTTTGGAACTCATTACCACAGGGAGCTGTGGCACAGAGTCCTTGTGTATATTTAAGTTGAGATGGAGAGAATCTTGGTCATTAGAGGAATCAAGGGTTATAGAGGAAATAAAGGAAAGGGGATGTGAGGCATGTCAGATCAGCCATTATCCTATTGAACTGCACAGGAGCTCAAGTGGCCAAACGGCCTTCTCCTTCTTTATGACTTAGGGTCTTATGGTCATAGGTCCAACAGTCACAAACTTAATGGATGCAGCAGACAACCCTTTTCGCCACTCAACTAGATCTGACTGGACCACATAGAAATGTGACTGAAACCTCCTCACTATTTTCTAAGCATTCTGGGTGCAAAGAAAACCCTGGTTTATTTTTCTACTGCAAATTATCTTAATACCTGCCCAAATAATACACATGAAGAGTTCATGCATTTCTTTGTCACTAAAATGAAGATCATCCTACCAACTGCTGGACCAGTCCAACTTGGCTGCAGCCTTCAACATGGTTGGCCATGACATCCTCCTCCAAGCCTCGGAGTTGGATGAGATTGCTTTCACCTTGTTCCATTTTTAATCTAATTGTAGCCATAAAAAAAAAAACACCTGAAATAGCTCTCTTCCAGTTTCAACATTGTTAGCTCTGGTATCCCTCAAGACACTATTTCTCATCTATAATCTGCCATGATAATATAAGGCGGCACAGTTTTCATTTTCAAAGTTAAGACATCCAACCTGCCTAACCATGACCCCTTGACTCATTTTTTTGCTGCTAAATTAATAGTGTTTACATGTCATGCAATACAGGATACAGTGAGCAGAAATTCCTGCTATTAAATGCTGAGAAGATTGAAGTCATTGATTTCAGTGCCTGGATAAAATGCTTTTTTGGTACTAATTCAAATCCTATCCCAGGCAACAGTCTGAGATCATAAACTCACCTGCTGAAATACTCTACCATGCCTTCGTCCCCTCTAAACCTGGTTATTTCAATGTAACCACAGATAGCCTCCCACATTTCACACTCTAAAAACTTGCAATCATCCACAACTCTGGCACCTGTGTCGGAGCTCTTGTTGAATCTTGTTCACCTATCTCTGGTGCTCACTGAGCTACACTGGCACCCAATAAGAAATATCTTGCTTCAAACTCCTCACCCCTTCCCATCTCTTACAGCTTCACAGATCCCAGTGCTGGTTTAATTCTGGACTTAATGATTTCAACTGCTCCATCACTGATGGGCACACCTTCAGTTGCCTGGGCTTCAAACCATGAAAATCATGAGGCAATCTCTTGGATCGTGCTCTGGGTCAATTGACTTAACATTTTATTACATGGTCTGTTGCCATACTTTGTTTTATAAAGTGCCTTGAGACACATTACATTAAGAGAGCTACATAAAATATATTATTACTGTCAAGTACTTTACAGCCCACTCCTGTACTCCTTGAAGATTTGTAGTTAACTTGTGGGGAGGTGATGGCCTAGTGGTATTATTGCTGGACGGTTAATCCAGAGACCCAGACAATGTTCTGGGGACCCGGGTTCGAATCCTGCCGTGGCAGATAGTAGAATTTGAATTCAATAAGTTCAATAAATATCTGGGATTAAGAATCTAACGATGACCGTGAATCCACTGTCGATTGTCGGAAAAACCCATCTGGTTCACTAATGTCCTTTAAAGGAAGAAAACTGCCATCCTTACCTGGTCTGGCCTACATGTGACTCCAGACCCACAGCAATGTGGTTGACTCATAGCTGCCCTCTGGGCAATTAGGGATGGGCAATAAATGCTGCCTAGCCAGCGACACCCTCATCCACTAAATGAATAAAGAATAAAGCCTGAAAAGAATCTAAACAGATATTAACACTTTTCTTTCATTGTTCTTAAATCTTTAGAGCAAATGTTTCTCATTACCTTCTACAGTTTTGAAAATACCACGATTTTCAATTTCCACCACGAGATCAAAATGGGAGCAGTCAGTTAACATAACTTTTTCTTCTGTCTCCTCATTCATGAGACCGTAAATTTTGAGTGGTAAATCCAATATTTGCCCAACTCGAGCTTCTACCTGGCAAGGTATAAACTCCATCTGGATCGGCTCAATTACGTAAACCTCAAAAAGAGAAACAGCATTAAAACAATATTAAAAACTGAAATCAAAAACATCACAACTAAAATCTATCAAAAGTTATTATCCAGCAAAGCACTGAACACTTATTTTCAAAAAAAAAAAAGAGCACAGCATTAATTACTGGTTTTAACTTCACTAACCAGGCAACTGTCTGGAACTCAGTTCATATTTGAATAGGGCCATGGAATTTCATAGTAACCAAGCAATCAGACAGTTGCTGTTTAAAGATCTCATCCCAAAGACGATTTATCCAATACAACTTTGCTTGTATGAACTATTAATGAGAATAGTCTGAAATGGGTATTGCACTCAACTCCTTCTGACTCAACACTGATTATGTGATGTAACAAAAATTTAGCTTTACACATTGGTAAAACAAAATTGTAATCACTATTTTATACACAAATATTCAGTTTGAATTTTATTGAAATCATTCACATTTTGGTGCCACTAGCACTTTTATCTTAGTAAGAACGATGAAACAAAAATCTGATACTTAATTTAAAGTAAGTGCAAAATCATGTGCTAACCATAGCAATACTCCTAATTTTTGTAAGCTTCATTTGTTATTCATCAGATGTTTCGGACAGCTACACCAAAATAGTATACGTTCCTCATTTAAAAGAAAGCCATTTTGCATGAGGACCCAAACAAACAAACAAAAATTGGCAATATGATAAAATTTCTAACAGTCTGGTTACATTTATCCAGAAAAAAGTGATTAAGCAACGAGAACCACATACACAATAAGCTAATTTTGCAGCACTTTGAGCAGAGTTCTGTATAAAGAAACAGTTCAAGGTGATGAAAAACTTGAGGTAAAGTTTTACTTTTTTTCTTTTAAAAGGGTCTGTGCAAGCCTGGCAAAATCTTGGACCATGGAGTATTTTTACAGAATAATGCACATCTCAATCTGAACACCTACTTATTATCCAACATTAATTATTCGAGTATGCTTTTAGAAAATTGAAGCGCACACATGGTTTTTAAGTATTAAAGACACCAATCTTATCATCAGTTCATTATGTTTCCATTAGCTCAAACTAAGAATGATTTTGACGCTGGCCTGCATTGTATTTTAAATTGAAATAGCAGTGCATCACTTTAATAAAAAAAATTGGAGAAGCTCAATGGAAGTGGAGTTTGAACTAGGAACTGTCAGCGTAGTTAACTTGACACAATCCATACACAGAAGCAAAATGATCAGATTGAAACAATAGATTGAAAGTTTGTGCATACATTTATTTATAGTTTCAAACAAATTTGAAAATCTGAAGGAACCAGATTCCGCACTTCAAAACAAAGGTCATACTACGAGTTTGAGCACAATTAAGATCCATGTCATTTAAGAGTTTACTTACACTGGCATCTAACTTCTTTTGTCAAGTTTAGTTGGGTACCTATCATGCAAGTGTTGCAACTTTATGTGTTTCAACAATGAGTTTCTCAATGAGATACTGTTGTACTACAGCTACCAGAGGAGTGAAACAAACTATACAGCAACTTGCTGCTTTCCACACTTAATTGTGGGTGTCATGGGCAGAAGTTGATATTCACTGTTATTGAAATATAAGTTGAGCAAAGTGTCACTGGTTCTGCTTTTGTAGCAAAACTAAATGCTTTACTGCTTCAATTTCATAGAATCCATACAGTGTGGAAACAGGCCCTTTGGCTAAACACATCCACACCGACCCTCAGAGCTTCCCATCCCCCTACAACCCACCTAATCTACACATCCCTCAACACTACGGGGTAATTTAGCATGGCCAATCCACCTAGCCTGCACATCTTTGGACTGTGGGAGGAAACTGGAGTACCCGGAGGAGACCCACGCAGACACGGGGAGAACATGTAAACTGCACACACCCAGTCGCCAGAGGGTGGAATTTAACCCGGGACCGGTTAACCCAGTTAGCAGTGCTAACCAGTGAGCCACCATGCCCAAAAACTGAAGACGAGCAATCAGGACTTGTCCAGGGTTTGAACACGGGCTCTCTCGCACATCTGCCATGCGCAATCCCCGAAGCAAGAATCATACCCCGAGACTAATAAGCCATTGCCGCAGTAATTTATATCACTGAATCTCTACAGCGTGGAATCTGACCATTCTACCCAAGGCCACACCAACCCTTGGAACCCATCCCATCTCCCCCATAACCCTGCATTTCCCAAGGCGAATCTACCTACACATCCCTGCACATTGTGGGCAATTTAGCATGGCTAATCCACCTAGGCTGCACGTGTTGAGGGACTGTGGGAGGGAACCACACAGTTACAGGGAAAATATGTAAGCTCCACAGAGTCACCCGAGGCTGGAATTGAACCTGGGTCCCTAGTGCTGCAAGGCAACAGTGTTACCCACTGAACCACCATGCCATGAGAAACGAAGCCAGTGGGATTCGAAGCTGCACAGAAAAACCCAAATGGATTTCAAACCCATCACCTTAATCACTCAGCCACGACTACAGGCCCCGAGCCTACTGCACCTGATCTTCCCAAGCGGTCTCCCATCCAAGTACTAACCAGGCCTGAGTCTGCTTAGCTTCCAAGATCAGACGAGATCAGGCATTTTCAGACTAGCATGGCTGTAGATTAATCAAAATACCTAATTTTCTCAAACACAAACATTTTCAATTTCATAATTTCTCAAAAGGTCATGAACAAAAATATTTAAAAATTTTAAAAACATTTTACCATCATTTGTCCATAGTGTAATGGATTTTGAACATCATGTGCTTGTATTACACTCAATCCTATATCACTTCCAGTTGTCATAATCCCTTTAACTGTCACTGTTGCCACAGCCTGGTTTGATGATGACCAGGTAAAGTTTCCACTCCCGCCTTTAGCCTGTGCAAAAAAAAATTAAACATGTCGGAAAGGAATAATTATATAATGTAATTAAAATATAATAGCAATCATGTTCAGAATAATCTCATTTTAATACTTTGCAAAAATTCTCAGATGCTATATTGCATACACCTTTGTTGAAACAAAATATCAGGACATTCTAACCTTGGCCCAAGCATGAAAAGAACAGGTAAATGCCAGACATGGCAGAAAATTGACTGCCCTTCAAAGTAAGGCACCAGTCAATCAACTATGGTACTAAGGTGTTCTGGTAACATTTAAGTCAAAAGGGATCAGGGTGAAGCTCTCTAGTGCCAGACACCTGACAAAGCAAATGGTTATAATTGTTGGAGGCTAATCATCTTTATAGGGTTCATCAAGCAGTGTGCTCGGCCCAAACAATCTTCAGCTGCTTCAGTTGTCTTTCTTCACCATAAAGTCACAACCGAAATGAGAACGTTCATCCACAATTGCAGTGTTCAGCTTCATTCAGAATGAAGTAATTCACACTCTCATACAGTAAGACTTGAACAATATCCATGTTTGTGCTGATGAATAGTACACAGGATTTGCATCAAGTCGTAGACAATGATCACTTCCAAGATGAGGGTATCTCTCTACATTTTTCTCCCCCGCAGAAATTCAACAGCATGGTCATAAGAATCCCCCATCATCCTGGGCTCACCATGGACCAGAAACCCAACTATACTGGCCATATCATGGTATGGATTCTACAGGAGGTCATAGTCCAAGAAAAGTGTACAATTAGACAATAAATAACTAACACGAGTTGTCTGAGTCCCATTGTCTTTTATTAAAGCCAATCAAAAAGCCTTCCAAATACAAATTATTGCCTTCTGAAGGTAATGTACTCTATGTCATATAGTCTTCTGTAGTGTTCCAATGTGATGGTGGAGCCCAGCAGCACGGCATTCCACAGTGTCGGCAAGGTTGAATTGTCTATTTTTCTTGCATGATCTTTATTCTAGTTTACCTTTGTCCTAGCTGCCCAAGGGAAATAATCCTACTTATTGAGATTGTTCTCCAGGTTGTCTTGCTCGTGTATTTATTTCTCACTGTGATGGACATGCCACGTTTCCTGAGGTTTACTTTCAACGAATCCTCTAACCTTAATCTCAGCTAACCTTGCAAATCATATCTAAGTTTAAGCAGTAAATACATTACTTCTTAGAGATTTTACCATCATGCACCTGTACTACGTGTCCATGCCATTTAAAATAGGCTCTGAAGAGGAGTGCTTCAATTCCAGACAATTATGTTCTTCAAAGGACCTCTGCGTAGGGCACTTTGACCTTACATTTAATGCCCATGATGTTCTGGAAGTAACTTGGGAAAATGGACAAATGATGAGCATGCTCTGGCAATTCTATTTACCAACTCACAATTGATGCAAACATTTTAGGTGTGTGGGCTTCTAAGAGGAAGCTACGTTAAACAAAAGCAATTTCATTTTGCAAGCAACAATTAAACTCTCAATTGATTTCTACCTGGAGCATGGGACTTCATTTCATTGAGAACTATTCAGCATGCAATGAATATCAAAAAACACATCACATTAACAGAATAAATGCACCTTTATTGCGTACTGATAAGTTCCAGCCATCTGTTGCCAAGGAAACGTCAAAATACTTGGTGTGAGAACTATTGGATTATAAATTTCGACTTCCTGTTGGTTCCGCACAGGGACAGACAGGGCATATATTATTCCGTTCTAAAAGATAAAATGAAAAAATTGAAAATATTTAGCAAAATTATGAACAAAATTGAAATAACTGAGGAAAAAAATACAATTTCAGAAAAAGAAGGCAAAGAAAGAAACATCTACAAAGTATTTTTAAAGTTGCTCTCAGTGAATGAAACCAAAACCTCCAACGTTTACAACATCACTTCAACATATGGCTATGTTCTCACTGACGTACAAGCAGATTGAGTAATTTATACAAAAAAGCTTACTGCACAACAGCCTCGGAATCTTAGTATTCAGAATCAAAGCCCTATTTAAAAAAAAATGTTTCCAATATTTCATATACTTGCTCATAAGTTAATTAAAAATCTTATGCCCTTCATTCAGATGCGATTCCCTCAAAAATTTGAAGATTACTTATCCTTGCTTTATTTTGGATACTTTAAGAATGTATTTGTTTAAGAACAGCTTAATAGGATTGTACTGAATAAAACATCAAATTAACTACACAAATAATTATCAAAACAAAATGCGAAATCAACTAGGAAATGTGAAATAGAATGGATTTATTAGCATTTCTGATTTTTTTTTTCCTTTATTCATTCATGGGATGAGGGCATCGCTGGCTAGGCAGCATTTATTGCCCATCCCTAATTGCCCAGAGGGCAGTTAAGATTCAACCATATTGCTGTGGGTCTGGAGTCACATGTAGACCAGACCAGGAAAGGGTGGCAGTTTCTTTCCCTAAAGGGCATTAGTGAACCAGATGGGTTTTTCCAATAATCAACAATGGATTCATGGTCATCATTTGACTCTTAATTCCAGATACTTATTGAATACAAATTCCACCATCTGCCATGGCAGGATTCTAACCCAGGACCCCAGAACATTATCTGGGTCTCTGGATTAACAGTCCAGCGATAATACCACTAGGCCATCACCACCTCGTTACACAACTAAGGCCTCATTTCTCTTTTTAACTTCACTTTATAATAGCAAAGTAATACACAAAGAATTTGCATTCAAGGAAGTTTAGGTACAAGAAATTCAAATCTCTTTGATGAAATGCTGATTGGTGTAGAACTTAGAGTACATGGAAGCTTGAACCATTAAAGATATCCAATACTTATTGCGTTGGTATAAGTGTAATCTGTTTTGAATGTCAAGGAATATCAAAGAGCCACAGCTGAAAATGATATATTAACCAGATGTCTATTTTAAAAATATGGATTTATGAATAAATGGTGGTCAGAACACCGCATAGGTAACTCCTATTCTTTTAGTAATGAAGTGTGCACTTTTACATAGTACTTTTCACAACCATAGGGCATCATAAGCTTCTTCACATGCAATTCAATAGTGTTGATGTGCAACACTGTTGCAACATACAAAACACAGCAGCCAATTTTCAGCAAGTCTGATGCGCTGTCATTAAATAAATGGCCAGGTTTCCTTTCCAACCGCTGACTGGGGGATAAAGGTGGACTGGGACACCAGGAGCACTCCTTGAATGCTATTGTGGGATCTTTTACCTCTACTAGGAGGAGGAGAAATGGGCCTCGGCTTAACATTTAAAGCCAAAAGGTGATATCACTCTCAATTCAGCACTTTCTCAACACTGCACTATATGTCAGCCTAAATGATATACTCATCTCAAATGGGGTTTTATCATGACTCGGAGGCAAATGAACGAACACTGAACTAAATAAAAACCGAAACAACTGCGGATGCTGTAAATCAGGAACAAAAACAAAGTTGCAGTAAAGCTCAGCAGGTCTGGCAGCATCTGTGAAGGAAAAAATCAGAATTAACACTTCTGAGGAAGGGTCACCAGACCCAAAGTGTTAACTCTTTTTTTCCTTCACAGATGCTGCCAGACCTGCTGAGTTTTTCCAGCAACTTGGTTTTTGAACACTGAACTAAGACTGACAACTATGATTGTGTGGAAAAAAATGCTGCAAGTCCCACAGAAAAGGTCTTTAACAGCAAATTTCTTTTAACTCAACATAGAAACACTACAAAATATTTTACAATGTTATATTCTAATCTCAAGCAAGGCACAGGAATTTAAAGGTGCTTTAAATTGGCACCTGAAAAGTGACAGGTCACAATTTTAAACATTTATTGTTCTACACTAGTATGGAACACATCTTATTTTCTAATCTTCAGTATATATGAGGCATCAAATTTTATTACGTACATTGTGAGTTGATGCATCTGGATTTGGTGGCCTTCTGCACATTCACACTATATAATCATAGAAATATCCAAGTTCTAATGTGGGCGATGGATTTAGTGTTTTTGATTGAAGTTTTTTTTGTTAAGAAATGCATTTTGCTCTGAAACAACAGATGCAAAACAGACTTGTGATCAACTCGCTAATTACAAACGAAAACAGAAATTGCTGGAAAAGCTCAGCAGGTCTGACAGCATCTGTGAAGAGAAATCAAAGTTTTCATTTTTGGGTCCGTGACCCTTCCCCAGAACTGATGGTAGCTGGGACAGTGTTGGTTTATGTGCACAAGATGGGGTGGGGGGGTGGGAAGAAAGACGGTAAGAAGTAAATGATAGGTGGGGATAGAGCCCAAAAAAAGAGAGAAGAACAGTTAGACAGACAAAGGAGTGGGTAACAATCTGGCTAGGAGGGTGAATAGCTGTTAATGGGGACTGTTAGTGACCAACAACAGTGTGTAATGGCAGACCTATGTGATAACAAGGCCTGGTGTGGGGGGTTGGGGCCCAGGACATGGGAGTGTTCAGATCCTAAAATTATTGAACTCAATATTTTGAGTCCACAGGGCTGCAGCATCCCCAAGCAGAAAATGAGGTGCTTTCCTTCCAGCTTGCATTGAACTTCGCTTGAACACTGCAAATCTGTAAATGTGCAGGAGTTACACCTTTGGCGGTTGCAGGGGAAGCTATCGTGGGGCTGTTGGGGGGTGGGGGAAAGAGAGATAGAGATGTTGGGGGTGAAAGAAGAGACTAGGGTGTACTGGTGGGAACAGTCTTATGATCTTCTGGGTGTGGATGCTGGTGGAATGGTAGGTAGGGACAAGGGGCATCCTATCGCTGTTGTGAGAGGGAAGACAGGGGGTGAGGGCAGAAGTGCAGGAGAGGGGGCGAACCCAGGTGGCAGCCCTGTCGACAACGGTGCTGGTGAATCCTTGGGTGAGGAAGGCGGTGGATATTTCAGAGGCTCCCTTGTCAAAGTTGGCCTCATCGGAACACATACGACAGAGATGGAGGAACTGGGAGAATGGAATTGAGTCTTCATAGGAAGCAGGGTGTGAGGATATATAGTCCAGGTAGCTGTAGGAGTCGATGGGCTTATAATGGATATTAGCAGCCAGACTAGCCCTAGAAATAGAAACAGAGATGTAAATGAAGGGAAGGGAAGGGAAGAGTCAGGGGGTGGGGTGTTGGAAATTGGAAACAAAATCAATCAACTTTTCCAATTCTGGATGAGTGGGGGAAGCAGCACCGATGATATCATTGCAAAATCAGAGAAAGAGTTGTGGGTGGGGGCCAGAATTGGACTGGAACAAAGAATGTTCCCCCACATACTCCATGAAGAGACAGGCATCACTGGAGCCCATGCGTGTACTCATGACCAACCCTCTGATCTGAAGAAAATGAAAGGAGTTAACAGAGAAGTTGTTCAGGGTGAGGATGAGCTTGGCCAAGCACAGGAGGGTGGTGGCGGGGGTTCTGAACGATTCAGGCCTTTGCTCCAGGAAGAAGCAGAGAGCTCCGAGACCATTTGGGTGGGGGTTGGACATATAAAGGCATTGCACGGCCATGGTAAAGAGGAGACAGCTGAAGCCTGCCAACTGGAAATTCCAAAACTGGCGTAAAGCATCAGAGGAATCACGGATGTATGCGGGCAGGGACTGGACCAGGGGAGAAAAGACCAAGTCAAGGTAGGAAGAGATGAGTTCTGCGGGGCAGGAGGAGGCAGAAACAATGGACATCTGTCCGGGCAGTCCAGTTTGTGGATTTTTGGAACGAGGTAGAAGCGAGCTGTGCGTTTATTCCCTACCCCCTCCCCTGACTCCATATTCTGCATGGAAACTGTCATTTTCCCAGCTACCATCAGTTCTGAAGGAGGGTCACCGGACCCGAAACGTTAACTCTGATTTTTCTTCACAGATGCTGCTAGACCTGCTGAGCTTTCCCAGCAACTTCTGTTTTTGTTTCTGACGTACAGCATCCACAGTTCTTTCATTTTTTGATTTGCTAATTACAAATCCTGCTCCAAAACGGAAATCAAAAGTCAGTTGTCAAATCTTATGAAAACATTTTTTTGCTGTCTAGTTTGGAGGTTCTAATTGCCAGAAAATTAGCAAGGATATTAATGCTTCATCGAATTAATTGAAGAGAACACAAAATAAACTCTAACCAGCTAAGGCACAACATTTTGTACACTGATGGCTTCAGCGTAATTCCTCATTGCTAAAGAAAAAATTGGCATTACATTGCGAGGGGTTACAAAACCATAGCAACTGACCTGAGAAACCACATTGGTTAAAGCAGCATCAATTATTGTTTGACCATTCTTCAGTGCTTTTACACGATGATATGATCCATTCACAGATGTCTCCAGTATTTCGAAATACTCTTTCGGGATTTCAGTATTAATTCGGATATCCTACATTACCATAAAGAAATGGTTTGGCATAAAAACTTAAATGCAAACATGAACAATGTGCATGTATTGAGTGCTTTAAAATGGCCATAAACTATTAGACCAGATAGAAACAATTTTTAAAAAAGGTGGGAATTTGCAAAATGGAACTCTGACACAAAAACAATGCTTGTTACAAAGTCTGGTAATGTAAGGCACCTCGACAAACTGTTACAAAGCTTCCTCAGTTACTCCAAGTTATTTCTCAAAGAATTTGATCAACAAATATTTAACAGAAAGCAATAGGAAAACTCCAAATAAATAATTGGAGGATAGGCACAGTCCAGGAGTTAGGTGTGAAAATATCTCCTCGCTCTGTGTTTTCATTTTTCTAGTTTCTATTAGGTCATCTTACCTAGAGCAATAACACTTAAGATTGAAACAGACCTTTGAAATTCTTATCCTTACCTCTTTTGATGTTTACAATTTTTGGAGAAAGATTGTTTCATCAAAAATAAACTGGTTTCAAAGCTCCTTTCATAATTTAGGGAAGTAGATTTATTTGATTAGCACTTGCTGAAACCATCATGGCCTGAATAAAGCATAGAGCTATTACAAAGGAATCGAAGTAGCAGCTTGTCACAAGGCAAAGATTCCTCAACATTTGGCAGGATGATTTTGAGCTTGTTTCATGAAAGTAGCCCTTAATTCCATCTCCATTCACACATTACTCTTGACTCAGCACAAATGCCAATCTAGTAATTCACAGTGCAAAAACTATAAAGTACATGATATCTAAAAGGCTCACTATTAAATGCCAGCTCTGAAATTCAATAATTAAAAGCATACAGCTTCATGCTTGCAGTGACTTGAAAAAGGCAAATTTAAAGATTATAAAATGCTGCTGGTTTCATCAGTTGCCAAACTCCGCCCACTGCATTGTTATCAACTGAAGATTCCAGGTCAAAGTGACAGCTGAAGAGTTTAAGGAAACATCTATCTAACCAGGCATGATGTGGGGTGCCTTGCTCCAGCACATGCTAAACCTTGACACTCTACAGAAAGCCTAGACACAATTGAGGGAAAGATCAGTATTTAAACATTGTCTAAATGGTGAAATTTTCTCTATTCCCACTTTTAACTTCCAGTTTACCTATTTACAAAAATGTTTTAAAAGTGTGAGTCAATTGCTATATTATTTTAGAGTGTTATTAGAATTTAGGAAAAATGTGCAGCAACTTACACTTCTTTTAACGAGCACTACGGTCACTTAAAAAAACTGGTTAATTTAATTTCAGGGGACTTTTAGTGCAACTCATTATGTAAGTAGATTTATCATTTAATACTTACATCAGATAAATACAGTTTGTTACTTTCTTTATCATATACTTCAATTGTTAGACCATACACTTTGCCAGTCTCCAAAATCCATCTGTCTCCGGGGTGAACTGTAAAACCTGTAACATTAAAAAAAAGTTTCTCATCTTCGATACAATAATTTTCTCAGCAGACATCCAAATTAGTGGGCAGCTTCACAATATGAAATTCACAAAATACTTCCCCTTCAAAATTTTGCATCTTTCAATATAAACTTCAGATCTTGCCATAACTTCGATCCAGACTTCCACTGGTTTCTTTCACTGACATAATGAAGGAGACAATCCCAGATAGTGAAATGAAACTGTGAGCACTGCTGTCTGATTGCAAATGTCCAGCATTGCTGCAAGCTTTTACAGGCAGTGAACATTATTTGGCATGCCAAATAAAGTTCCCAAATTGGGGCATGGAATGCTTCCCTCAACCCCAAAAATATCAGGACTCACTGTAAGCTAGACAGTTCCATACACATGTACAGGAGCAGGCCTTTCAACCTTTTGAACCTGCTTCGCCACCCAATGAGACAAAGATTAATCTGATTGTAAGCCAATATCTGCCTCTCTGCCTACCCTGAGAACATCTTATCTCCTTGCTTAACAAGAATCTACCTACTTCTGCCTTAAAATATTGAAGAAATTTGCTTTCAACCCCTTTGCAGGAAGAGAGTTCCAAAGACACTCAACCTTCAAAATTTTTCTTTGCTTCATCTCCATTTAAAACAATACGGAATTTGTCCAAAAGAGGAAGCATCCTCACCACACCCAACTTGCCAAAGGCCCCTCATTGGCAGAGGAAAAAAAATATGGTACAAGCCAACTTGTGCCTGCAATCACCGTTTTCTGTAGTTTATTTTTTGTTGCTGCGAGGACCTCAAAAGGTTCATGCATGGCAGCAGCTTCCACAGGCGGGAGCCATTCACGGGCATTTCGATGAGTGCACAGAGCTTCTCAGCAGCATAGTTTAAAGGGAACATTACCTGTATTTACAGGTAACTAACAGCTAACTCCCAAAATTATCAATTTAGCAATTTAATCTTTAGTAAAATGATTTTGTAAATTTGAGTAAACATGCATTTATTGAAACCAGTACTGATTATTATGTTATTATCGCACTGCCTTATTTGTTCACTAGACTGGCGGGGAATGTACTTCTCTCAAGTATGATTCAGATAGTTTAGTTGAACTGGATGTTTGATATGATTCTCAGAATTAAGAAATGGATGGAATTTAAACAGAATCTTCCAAGGATTGATCAATTGTCCTCAACTTATTGACTTTTTTTGACCACTGTAGCAAAACCTCAGCAACTATCTGTTTCAGAAGGTTGTCACAAAGTCTTTGCTTAAGCCCATCTATCAATGACATACACTATCATAAGCTGGAGCATCCAGCCTCAGACATATATCTGGTCCATTTCCAAGGTAGGCTGAAATAAGTAAGCCAAGCAGACAACACATCATACTATGAAGGAAAATGTATTAATCAAATGGTTAACCCTGCTTAAGCAGATAAAAGGACAATCCTCTTAATTTCCCTCCAAGTGGCTACAGGAACACAATTACTCAGAATTGGAGAAAAGAACAAGATTATGATTTGTAAGGCTATGAATCCCATGAAGCCATGTGGCTTTCTTGGCTGCTAAGAAGATATAAAAGAATATACAACAGTGATAATGAGGTATTCATTTATGTATTACTTTATTTCAAAGTATTTAAAAGCTTAATTCAATCCTAGTACTAATAAAGGTTTAAAAATATATACATATACCAAATATGCAGATGTAAATACTCAAAATTGGTCTCAAAATTAGTACCACTTGGCTATAAAGGAAATGGACAAAGATCAATTCCATTCCTAGGTTACCCGATAATAAAAGAACAAAATTAAGATAGCCTACTAGGTCTCAACTCCACCAACCATACCCCTTCTCCCACGAAAAAACCCTACCCACTGACAATGAGACACTGAACTTCCAAAATGTATTTATTTAAAAATATTTTTACATATGAATCCCAATAACTTACAATACATTTTCAAAATCTAATGACAAAGAGTTTGCTCAATTGATAGATGTCCCACCAATAAAAGTTATTTCGAATACAAACCTAGGTAACGTGGCTCAACAACATAAATTGTGCAGTTTGGCAACCGGGATACACCTTGCATACGAATACCTAAATCATTTGTTAAGGTCAAGCAAGTTGAAAACTGCCAATCTATTCTCAATATAATTATTCTTAAATTTATTATGATAGAAATAGTGAAAGAGATCGATGAAAAGCAGGAGATTGGCACCAGGTAATTATGTTTGCATGAAGAGCCCAGTGCAGGTATGATGGGCCAAATGGCCATCTTCTGTGCCATAACAATTTAAGTATTTTATAGAGATTTCAAACAGAGTTCATGAATATTATACAATATCCACTAGGCCTTGTAGCCAACCTGACAGAAAGGGGTAACTCTTTAGAGAAAGATTATGCTGACCAATTCTAAACTTCATTCCAAACTCGCTGAAATGCGAAAAGATTTAAAAGCAAAAGCATCTGTTACAGCTTTGATGTTGCACACCTCAGGTTGTTTTCAGAGATAGTAGGAACTGCAGATGCTGGAGAATCTGAGATAACAAGGTTGTAGAGCTGGATGAACACAGCAGGCCAAGCAGCATCAGAGGAGGAGGAAGGCTGACGTTTCGGGCCTAGACCCTTCTTCTGAAATGGGAGAGGGGAAGGGGGTTCTGAAATAAATAGGGAGAGAGGGGGAGGCAGATAGAAGATGGAAAGAGGACAAGATAGGTGGAGAGGAGACAGACAGGTCAAAGAGGCGGGGATGGAGCCAGTAAAAGGTGAGTGTAGGTGGGGAGGTAGGGAGGAGATAGGTCAGTCCAGGGAGGACGGACAGGTCAAGGGGACAGGATGAGGTTAGTAGGTAGGAGATGGGGTGGGGCTTGAGGTGGGAGGAAGGACAGGTTAGGGAGGCGGGGACGAGCTGGGCTGGTTTTGGGATGCGGTAGGGGGAGGGGAGATTTTGAAGCTTGTGAAGTCCACATTGATACCATTGGGCTGCAGGGTTCCCAAGTGGAATAGGAGTTGCTGTTCCTGCAACCTTTGGGTAGCATCGTTGTGGCACTGCAGGAGGCCCAGGATGGACATTTCGTCTGAGGAATGGGAGGGGGAGTTGAAATGGTTCGCGACTGGGAGGTGCAGTTGTTTAGTGCGAACCGAGCGTAGGTGTTCTGCAAAGCAGTCCCCAAGCCTCCGCTTGGTTTCCCCGATGTAGAGGCGGCCACAACAGGAACAGCGGATGCAATATACCACATTAGCAGATGTGCAGGTGAACACCTGCTTGATGTGGAAAGTCTTCTTGGGGACTGGGATGGGGGTGAGGGGGGAGGTGCTGGGGCAGGTGTAGCACTTCCTGCGGTTGCAGGGAAAAGTGCCGGGTGTGGTGCAGTTGGAGTGGAGTGTGGAGCGGACAAGGGAGTCACGGAGAGAGTGGTCCCTCCGGAAAGCAGATAATGGTGGGGAGGGAAAAATGTCTTTGGTGGTGAGGTTGGATTGCAGGAACAGCAACTCATATTCCGCTTGGGAACCCTGCAGCCCAATTGTATCAATGTGGACTTCACAAGCTTCAAAATCTCCCTTCCCCCTATTGCATCCCAAAACCAGCCCAGCTCGTCCCCGCCTCCCTAACCTGTCCTTCCTCCCACCTCAAACCCCACCCCCATCTCCTACCTACTAACCTCATCCTGCCCCCTTGATCTGTCCGTCCTCCCTGGACTGACCTATCTCCTCCCTACCTCCCCACCTACACTCACCTTTACTCGCTCCATCCCCGCCTCTTTGACCTGTCTGCCTCCTCTCCACCTATCTTCTCCTCTATCCATCTTCTATCCGCCTCCCCCTCTCTCCCTATTTATTTCAGAACCGCCTTCCCCTCTCCCATTTCTGAAGGGTCTAGGCCCGAAACGTCAGCCTTCCTGCTCTTCAGGTGGTTTTCAAATTCCTTTGGGGTTTCTACCAGTTGTATTGCTTTAAGTCAATCAAAAAATAGGTATAGATGCAATTCTAATGGCCCCAAATTAAAAGAAAACAGACTGCACTTTGTTGTCATAGGAGCAAAGCAATGATCCTTACTCCCGAACTCAGGAAACAAAAAGTTGTGAATTAAGATCTAGCAATCAGCATAACATTGTTTGCTTTTTTCCTGACACCAATTCGCTTCTGCCCTCGGACGAAGGCGATCATCAAATGTTGAACAGCTGTGATGTCAACTAACACAGTAAGCAGCCAGTGAAGTATTTTCACAAACAGCAAACTGAAGAGTTAACAGCACTTTTAATTCCTGTTTAAGTTTTTCGATAGTGAAATAAATAACCAAAATCAAGTGGAAGCTAAAATAAAGATAAAACAAAATGCTTAAAAATTAAAAGAAATCACCATTTAAACGAATCATAATGGAGAAATCTAACATTCTATAAATAGAAAATTAGATTCTCGGGCCAGTAATTAATATGAAGTTAATGCATAATGCAAAAAATCAAAAGCCCATTCAAAACAGGTGCAGTTTTATTTTAAGAAAGATTCAGTGTAAGATTGGATGTTCTTATCAATTCATAGGTTTTCCCAGTGACTGTACTCAGTGGGGATGCTAATCACATTCTTTAGGAGAGCTGTAGAATTATTTACAGCAATTTCTGGATTTCTGCAGTACTATGTGTATCTGTGGAATGCACATGCTGATGTCAGTTTCACTGAAATAATGATGTCTAAGAAACTTGAGCATTTAACATTGTTGGCAATAATGTTGTTTTTGAATTCCTGCAAAAGCAAAGTCCTCAAAAGCAGACTACAGCTCTGCGGAACAAAAATTAGTGCATCATTTAAATCATGTATTAGGCAGGGACAAAAGAAAACAGAATCCAATGGCAGACGACATGTACATAGAGCCTGTATGACAAGATGGCATCTACCTTTTGATGGTGTTTATAGAATTCCAGTGTGGAAGCAGGCCATTTGGCCCATTGAGTCCACACTGCTCCTCCAAAGATCATCCCATCCAGACCCAAGTCCCCTACCATACCATCCCCTGTAACCTTGCAATTCCGATGACTACTTCACCTAACCTACACAACCCAGGACAGTATGGGCAATTTAGCATGGTCAATCCACGTAACCTTAACTGCAGGCATGCAAGGAACCTGAAATGAAACATTTCAAACATATCCCAAAATTATATTTTGATATTTGACAGAAAAAAAATACATATGCAATCTTTCCTTCTTGCCCTCCAATGTTGAATTTTATATTGACCAATCCAAAGAAAGGGACCAAATGGAGTAACATTATGTTCCAATATCTGGTGTCCTGTTTCTCAGATACCAAAACTTCAATCATAGGAGCATTTTCTGGGTTAATTTCTTTAATTTTACAACAAATACAAATAAGAGATTCTTGTTCAATACTAGATTAGAAGTTAGAGCCATAGACATTTTACTCTGTGAGGCATTCAATGTAGAAGTCAGAAATAATTTTTGAAGGAGAATGCATTGTTAAAAGCTCTGCTGAGCACAGTTAAATAGATGTTTTGAAAAATGAAAACACATGCAAGGTGTTGGTTGGAGTTTGCAGAGGAACAGCTTCAATGAACCAAGAAAGATGTTGACTACTGGGAATTAGTTGAAGGTCGGAATTAACAATAGACAAAAAGTGGAATGATAATGTATGAGCTTAAAAACTCAAAGGCTTTTTTTTTTGAAAAGCATCTCAAACAAGATATCGCGAAGCACTAAGACTGACATCTTAAACAATCACCCTATAAGGCCCACTTTGCTAAATAAACTGAAAACAACCAACTACCAAGCACATACATCCTTATGAAAAGTACATAGTTGGATATTGTCGATATGCGAGCGTGTTCAAGTTGCACAAGTCCATTATACTGTAGCTGCAAACGGAATATTAAATACAGTATATTAATTGCCTTTACTTTGTTATAATTCCCCAAATAAATTTATTGTTCTGTTTTATTATTGGAAATACTACTCAGTTGCATTAGAGATATTAAATGCATAGAAATTAGTATCACAACTGCATAGTTACCTGTTGTCCATCGAGGATGACACAGAACACAAACATGCAGAATAAGCAATTAGTAAGGATCTATTAGCTGTAAACATGCCAAAGTTGGAAAAACGAGGCAACTACTGCTCTCTGCATAATGGGTTCATCAAAATGTTGCCACACCATGCAAGCATATCCAGTGTTGTGTTGTATTGGGTTGATATAATATAATTAGCATGATGTTAGCTTTGAACATGCTGTGCCTTTTCGCTTCTGCAAAATGCCAATCAAAACAACAAAGGATACTTTTATGCATCAGCACCAGGTTTGTTTGTCCTTGCTGCAGTGCAGTTACCGTTGATGTGGCTTGCTTCAGTTTTCCCACAGGTTGATTTGCATCTCCCCCTGGACTTACTATACTATTCTGCAGTTCTAATTCATACTGGTCAGAAGGCATCATTAATTCTGGAAAAGAAAAAAGTAACTTTAGTAGGTAAATTTTAAATTGCAAAGTAATGAACAAAAAATTATAACTGAAGTTAGCTGCAATAACCAGCCAAAGAAATAATTCCATTATCCTGGAATTCTGTTCAAATAATAAAAGCCATGCACTTGGCTAGTTAAGGCGAGTCTCGGATGGCAATGTTTAAATGGAAACCTCACTCCTGCATAGATAGGGAAACAAAACTCCAGCTGGATGGAAGGGAGTTTCTCTTCAGTGCTTCCTGCTTATTGAGGTGTAATCTGAATGCTAAAGTAGTTTCTCAGTCCTAGATATTGACCAAAATAATGGTGATTCATAATATGATGAATGATGCTTAATTTAGACAAAATCGTCTTTGGAATTTGGCTGTTAAAATAAAGGTAGGTGGGTGTTGACTTGTTTAAAAGAAAGCTGAAGTAAAGGTCAGCGTTTTTTCTAAAACTGATATACATTCAAAATTTCACCAGACAGATGACTATGGACCCATGATACTAGTGGAAAGACATTTTAAACTGTTGGGTTTAAACAGGTTTAGTAAGCATGTCAAACCATTAGTTTTGCTTCAGTTCAGAAGGTAATCAAATTTTTCTTGAACTGTATTAAAATGACAATAGCTATTGAGTCTAGAAGCAAGTTTAGGAGGAGATTCAGGGCAATTTAGGGAACAAGTCAACTCAGAGAGTTTAGCTAATGAAACTCAAACCAAGAAAGTCTGGTTAGTTATAACAACCTTCAGATGAGAGAAAGTTTAGGCTCTAAGATTTGTGCAAGAGTTCATGTCTCCAGATTTGCAAAGGACGCAAACTGCTTCCCAGTCTACGGGGAACAACCTAAAAGGAACCACTTAGATGGATGCAAAATTGGCTGAGTAATACGAAAGAGACAGTAATGGTTAATGGATATTTACCAGGCTGGCTAAAGGTTTGTAGTGCAGTACCCAAGGAGTCAGTGTTGGGACTCAATATAATAATGATCTAGATCTGTGTTTGCAGGGGACAATTTCAAAGTTTGTGAATGACACAAAACTTGGGAGAATTATAAACCGAGGATCACAGGATAGAACTCCAAAAGGACATAGTCAAATTGTTGGTGTGGACGGATAAGTGATAGAGGAGGTTCGATGCAGAGAGGTGTAAGGTGATACATATTGGTAGGCAGAACATGGAAAGACAACATAAAATAGGGATACAACTTTAGAAGGAGATACAAAAGGACCTGGGTCTGTACTGCACTGATCACTGAATGTGACAGGACAGATTAAAACAGCAGTTTAATAAAACAGTCAATATTCTCAGCATTCATATTTGTTAATAGGGACATAAAGTACAAGATCAAGGAGGTGATGTTGAACTTGCATAAGGCACTGTTTAATCTCAGCTGGAGTACCGTGTACAGTACTGAGTGCCACGTTACAGGAAAGATGCAAATGCACTGGAGAGTGCGCAGAAGCAAATTAACAAGAATGGCTTCGGGGTGCAGACTTCAGTTCAGGATAGTTGAAAGAAGGTGGGACTGGTCTTTTTCAAGAGAATATGGTTAAGGATGATTAGGTTCAGCAATTAGAATTTTGGATATTTGACGACCAGCAGACACAACAGGCCAAATGGCCTCTTTCCATGCTGTAAAATCTCTGACTCTAAAGTCAGGAGAAAGTTAAGGGGTTTTCACAATTATGAGCAGGCTGGATAAAATAGATAGGAAAAAACCATTCCAGCTCATAAAAGGTGGAGGATTTGCAAAAGGGGCAAATTTGATGTGAGAAAAACACTTTCACACAGCAGGTAGTTAGGGTATTGAAGTTTGGTAGAGGCAGAATGGAGACATTCAAGAAAGCATTGATGATTTGGATAGAAGTAATTTTGTCCAAGGATCTGGGACAAAAAGCAAGAGATTGGTACTAGCTAATGATGCTTATTTGAAAGCCAGTGTAGGCATGATGGGCTGAATAGCCTCTTTCTGCAACGTAACACTTCCATGATTCTAAAAGGTAGAAACAAAAAGAACTGAGATAGAGATTTCTCAGGACTTGAGCATCTGTAATGGACATTGTCAGGAAACCTCCTGAACCTTTGTTTCATGGTGCTGCAAATTGATTCTAATTGTCTCTATATTTAAATAGCTCATTTTAAAAATTTATTTTGTGTAAACGTTTCTGTTCTGTCATTAAAGTCTGCAGCCTCATGTGAATATGTGGAGGGGTGGTGTGTGGTGAAATAAGTAAAATAAATATCACTAGAGATGCAGTACAAGGGAAACTAATTGGACTAAAAAGACTAAAAATCCCCAGGACCTGGTGATTGCATTCTAGGATGTTAAAAGAATGCAGCTATAGAGATGGCGGATGCACTGGGAATAATTTTGTAAGTATCCTTACATTCTGTAAAACTGCCAGCATTAGGCTTATTCAATACGGAGACCACAAAACCAGGTCAGCTTAGCATCCATCGTTGGGAAAATGTTAGAAACCATTATAAAGGGATGTAACAGCAGAGCATTTAGAAATACATAACATTTTGAAACAGATTCAGCCTGACTTCATGAAGGGGAAATCATGCCTGATAAGTTTATTAAAATTCTTTGAGGAGGGTAACAAGCAGGATACGTAAAGAAGAACCAGAAGATGCAGTTTATTTGATTTTCCAAAAGGTATTTGATAAGGTACTTAATAAGGTTAACAGCTGACGGTGCTGGGGGTATTAAATGAGCATGGACAGACTAAGAGAGAGAGATGGGATAAAGCGGCTTATTCAGGATGGCAAACCTGTAACCAGTGGAACGCCATCGGTATTATTGTTGGTCCAACATATTTTACAATACCTGCATTAATGACTCGGGTGAGGGAAGTGAATGTATGACCAAGTTTGGTGGGAAAGACGAGTGATAAGGATGGCCTAAATAGTCAGCAGAGGGATAGTGGTTAAACAAGTTGGCAAAAACTTGGCAGATGGGATATATTCTGGAAAAATATATGAGATGATGCACTTTAGCAGAAAAAGCAGAGGAGACGTACAACTCTTAAATAGGAAAGACTGCAGAAAGCTGCAACCTAGATGGACTGGGAGTCCTTGTGATAAAACTCAAAAAGCTAACATACAAATTTAGTATTTAATAGGGAAGGCAAATCGAATGCTGGTTTTTATTTCAAAGGGAATAAAATAAATAGGGAATTCTTGCTAAAATGAAACAAATCAGACCACATCTAGAACGTGAACAGTTTTGGGCCGTCTTATCTAAGGAAAGATATTCTGTCATTGAAGGCAGTCCAGAGAAGGACAACTAGGTTGATTCCAGGTAGGGAATGGGCTGTTTTATAAAGACAGACTGAATGAGTTGGGCCTGTACTCATCAGATCTTTAAAGAATGAGAAGTGACCTTATTAAAAGACAAGAGCCTTAGGCAGCTTGACAGGGCAGATGCTGACAGGTTGTCTCCCCTTAAGAGAGGAGTTGAACACCAGGGGGCATAATGTCAAAAATAAGGAGTTGCCCATTTAAGACAGAGATGAGAAGGATTTCTTCTGCCAGAGGGTAATGAATCTGTGGAATTCTCCTCCTGCACAAGGCAGTTGAGTCTGGGTCATTAAGCACATTGAAGGCCGAGACACACACATATTTAAATCAGTTAGGGAATCAAAGGTTACGACGTAGGAAAGTGGAGTTAGATCAGCCATGTTATGGAATAGAACAGCAGTTCTCAATGGGCCAAATGGCCTACTCCTTCTCCCATGTCTTAATTGCAACAATATATACTTCATAAAAATCCATTAACTTGTTTCAGGATTTTTGTATCTCTAAGCATCAACTATGTGACTCTTTGAACTGTTCCAATATCGAACTGTATCTATTGTGTTTCAGTGACCAGAATTAGACATCTCAGAACTGATGAATGGTCTGGAATACCAATTTTCAAACATAAATATCAAGAATAGGCCAAGAAAATGGGCACAGTTCCAGAATAACTAAAACACAAATCTGGGGGAAATGTCAGAAGATCCTTCCTAAGATGAGGTTTGATTAGTACAGAACAAAGTGTTCAGGTGGACTAGAGAAAGCAAAAACAGAACATAAGAACTGGTTGCATAGGGTTCTATAGGCATATAAAGGGAAGAAGATTGATGAAAGCTAATGTAGCTCCCTTACAGTCAGAAATAGGGGAATTTATATTAGGAAACAAAAAATGGCTGACAAACTAAATTCTACTTCACTTGTCTCTTCACAAAGGAGGACACAATTAACATACCATAAATGATTGGGAACACAGGGTTTAGTGAGAGGGAGAAACTGAAGGAAACCAGTATTAGTAAGAAAATGGTGTTGAAGAAATTGACGGGATTGAAAGCTGATAAATCCCAGGGTCTGATAATCGACATCCCAAAGTATTTAGGAAGTGGCCTGAGAAATAATGGATGCATTGGTGGTCATCTTCCAACATTCTTTAAACTCCCTAGGAATTCCTGCAGATTGGAGGGTAGCTAATGTAACCCCATTATTTAAAAAAGGGAGGCAGAGAGAAAACTGGGAATTATAGACCAGCAAGTCTGACATTGGTAGGGAAGAAGATGCTCGAGTCCATAATCAAGGATTTTATAGTTCAGCACTTAGACATAATGGTCAAAATCAGACATAGTGAGCATGGATTTATAAAAGGGAAATAATTTAGTAAATTTACTGCAATTCTTCAGGATTAACCAGTAGAGCAGATCAGGAGAACCAGTGAACATGTTTTACTTTATTCATTCATTGGAGGAAGGCATTGTCAGCTAGGCCAGCATTTATTGTCCTCCCTAATTGCCCGGACGGCAGTTAAGAATCAACCACATTGTTGTGGGGCTGGAGGCACATGTAGGTCAATGCTAGTAGGAATGGCAGTTTTATTCCCAAATGGACATTAGGGAACCAGATGGGATTTTTCTGACAATTGGCAATGATTTCACGGTCATCGGTAGACTATTATTTCCAGATTATTATTGAATTCAAAATCCACCATCTGCCATGGCAGCATTCAAACATTACCTGGGTGTCTGAATTAATAGTCTACTGATAATACCGCTAAGCCATTGCCTACTCATTTGGACTTTCAAAAGGCATTCAAAGTCCCACACAAGATATTTGTGTGTAAAATTAAGGTGCATGCAACTGCGGGGGGGTACTGTATTGAAACGGATAGAAAATTGGTTAGAATACAGGAAACAAAGAACAGAAATAAATGGGTCTTTTCTTCTGACTGGCCGGCAGCGGCTAGTAGGGTATAGCTGCCATTCAAAATAGGTGTTAATGATTTAGATGAGAGAACTAAACATAATATCTCAATTTGCAGATGACACAGAAGTGTGATTTGGACAGGCCGAGCGAAGGGGCAAATGCATGACAGAAGTAGTAGAATCAGAGGTTATCCAGTTTGATACCAATAATAGGAAGGCGGATTATTATTTGAATCACTGTAAATTGAGAGGGGAGAATGGTCAGCGAGTCTTGGGTATCCTCGTACACCAGTCACTGAAAGTGGGTGTGCAGGCACAGCAACAGTAAAGGCGGTAAACTGTATGCAGGCCTTCACAGCGAGAGGATTCGAGTACAGAAACAAGAATATCTTGCAGCAATTAGGGAGGCCACAGCTGGAATACTGTGTGCAGTGCTGGTCTCCCTATCAGATGAAGATGTTCTTGCCACAGATGTAGTGCAGCGATCATTCACTAACTTGTTCCTTCGATGGCAGAACTGACAACCAAGTCAGTTAGGACAGTATTCACTGGGGTTTACAAGAATGGGTGCGGCAGGGGAAGGAGAGAGAAGGGAAGAGTCTCAGAAACCTATAAAATTCTCACAGGACGAGACAGGTTACATGCAAGATGTGTCTCTGCGTGTGTGTCTGTCCTGAATTAGAGGTCACAATTTAAAGGATAAGGGGTAAACCTTTTAGGACTGAGAGAAGGAGAAATTTCTTCACCTAGAAATTGGTTAGCCTGTGGGATTCTAAGCTACAGAAAGTATTTGAGGCCAAAACCATTGCGCATTTTCAAGAATGAGATAGATATAACTCTTGTGGCCACAGGGATGAAGAAGAGAGAGAGATTAGGGAATTGAGCTCGATAATGAGCCATGTTATTGAATGGCAGAGCAGTCTTCAGGGCTTGAAAGGCCTACTCCTGCCCCAAACTTCAATGTTTCTTTAAAAAGCTTGGATGATATAAAGGATCAAGTGTGACTTTCTTCTGGTTAATGGAAGACTGTATTTAAATTGTGATTTTATGGCTAGAATGTTACAGGCTATAGATGTATTTATGCATGCAGATTTTATGTTCACTGTTACTCAGCTTTTAACAAGTACACAATGTTTAAAAGGAGGACAAACCTGTGATCTTCCCTTGTCTTATCTTCTGCACCCGGTAATGAATGGAAGTACCCACCATCAAGTAAATATCATAAGCTGGATTCAGCATAATGTTTTCAAGGATAAGAAGCCGTACCTCTGCTGCTGGCACATTCTTGTAAACAAGGAATGACAGAATGAAAGTTTTAAAACTCCATATAAAAATCAAAAATATTTATCAAATATCAAGTGTAATATTTTGCTAAGCAACTAGATTTGTAAACAAATCACAAATCACATTGCATAAATGCACAATTAGTGCTGTGAATTTATAATTTTCCAAAGTTTTAGCGCACTCTTCAGGAAATTGCTGCAATGGCTATGCATAATTTTCAACTATGAGAAACTCTAAGGAAAAATAACAAACCTTAAAATGACAGCACACAAACTGAAGAAAATAATTTCTTCACATCTGATATTGCAGCATTGAGCTACTTTTTCTTGACATCTGCAGTACATTCTAGAACAAATGTCAAGGTCAACTTTGTGCTCATTTAAAAACAAAATGAATAACTCATTTTCTGACTAAAGATCTTCTCCATTATTGGGCAAAATAAAATTCTACACATCCCAACACTACAAAAAAAAAACAAACTTGTCTACACTAGTAGATTAAGCACTTAGCTTCACTGCATTCGGAAAAATCGCAACCTGCAACATCATTTTTCCAATGATAGCAATTTCTGTTTGTTGTTGAGCCTTCTAACACAATATATGTATCAGTCCCGGACACTGTTGCAGAAGTTGCTCAGGATAGGTGTCCAAGGTACAACCATTTAGATCTGGCTCATCAATGGCCTTCATCCATCATAAAGATCAAAAGCAGGGATGTTTGCCAATGATTGTACAACATTCAGCACCATTCATAACTTCTCAAATACTGAAAAAGCCAGTGTCCAAATGCAGCAAGACCTGGCAACATCTAGACTTGAGCAGACAAATGGCAAGTAACAATCACACCTCACAAGTGCTCGGCAATGACCATCTCCAATGAAAGAATCTAACTACCTTGATTGTCATTCAATGGTATTACTACAGCTGAATCTCCCACCATCAACATCCCAGGGTTACCACTTTATGAAGTGAACTGCTATGGAGACACTGTGGCTACAGGAGTTGGTCAGGGGTTGGGTAATCTATAGCACATAACTCATCTTCTGACTCCCTAAAGCATGTACACTGTCTACAAGACAAGTCAGGAGAATGCTCTACTATTGCCTGGATGAGTTTGTACCATCTGAAAAAGATATACAACAACTTATCAAAGATCCTTGGACAGAACATTCCAAACTTGTGACATCTACCATCTAGAAGGACAAGGGTAGCCCATTTATGAGGAAACCAAAACTGCATGTTCCCCACCAGGCCACACACCATAAGACCACAAGATGACAAACTACTGAGGAATATAAAAACTGACAATAAAAGCTCTTCTATAAAAAGGAAGAGAGAGACCAAAAAGCGAACATGGGACCCTAGAAAATAAATTTGGGGGAAGACAGAATTCGGAAACAAAGAAATGGCAGAGGAGTTAAACAGATATCTTGTGTTTTTATGTTTTAATGATTTAAAGTTTTCATGATTTAAGATATTTTGAACATTCCATTAATACTAAAAGAATACAGGGGAGGAATAAAGCACCATTGGCATCACTAAAGTAATGATCAGTCGTTAGCACCACTGCCTCAAAGCGCCAGGGAACTGGGTTCAATTCCAGCCTCAGCCAAGTTGTTTGTACGGAGTCTGCACATTCTCCCTGAATCCGCATGGGTTTCCTCCCACAATCCAAAGACATGGGGGATTGGTGGATTGGCCATGCTAAATTGCCCATAGTGTCCAGCAATGTGCAGACTAGGGATTATCTATGGGAAATGCAGGGTTACAGGAATAGTATTGGGGGAGGGGTGCTCTTCAAAAGAATCAGTGTGGACTTGATGGGCCAAATGGCCTGCCTCCAGGCTGTAGGAATTCTAGTAGTATTAGACAAGCCTAATAGGGCTGAGACAGATTAATCTCCTCACTTTGATGGATCTTGAACGAACGTAGCTACAGCAATAGTGGATGCACTTGCTGTGCTTTTCCAAAAATTCCTGGATTCTAGAGAAATATCAGAGGATTGGAAAACTGCTAACGGTGACACCCCTATTCAAAGTAGGAGGAAGGTTAAAAAGCAGGTAACTGTAGGCTGATTAACCTAACACCTGTTGTTGGAATCAATTATTAAAGAAGTAATAGCAGCACAAGGGGAGGCAATGGTCTGGTGGCATTATAGCTCGACTATTAATCCAGGAATTCAGCTTATGTTCTGGGGACCCAGATTTGAATCCTGATGTGGCAGATGATGGAATCTGAATTAAATAAAAAATCTGCCATCCTCACCTGGTCTGGCCTACATGTGAATCCAGACCAATAGCAACGCGGTTGACTCTCAAGTGCCCTCTGAAATGGCCGAACAAGCCATTCGGTTTTATCATTTGCTAAAGTGAAGTCTCAACTAAAAAATGAAATTGGGCAAACCACCCAGCACTAGAAAAGACAATGATGGAAACAGCTCTGTTAGCCCTGCAAAGTCCTCTTTACTGACATGGGGCTTGTGCCAAAATTGGGAGACCTGTCTCACAGACTAGTCAAGCAACAGCCTGACATAGTCATACTAATGGAATCATAACTAACAGACACGTCCCAGACACCACTATCACCATCCTTGGAGGTATCTTATCCCACCGGCAGGACTGACCAAAGGTGATGACACAGTGGTACAATAATCAGGAAGACGTTGCCCTGGGAGTCCTCAACATTGACTCTGGACTCCATCAAGTCACATGGCTTCAGGTTAAACATGGGCAAGGAATTGATGACCACGCACAGTCCTCCTTCAGCTGATGAATCAGTTCTCCACCATGTTGAACAACACTTGGAGGAAGCATTGAGGGTGGCAAGGATGCAAAATGTACACTATCAAAAGTCCACTATCAAAAGTGGCTCAGCAGCAACACTAGTGATTGAGTGGATCAGGTCCTAAAGGATATAGCTGCTAGACTGGGTCTGCGGCAGCTGGTGAGGAAGCCAACAAACGGGGAAAATTCATACTTGACGTCATCCTTACCAATTTGTCAGCTACAAATGAATCTGCCCATGACAGTATCGATAAGAGTGACCACCACACAGTCCTTGTGCAGACAAAGTCCCATGTTCACACAGAGAATACCCTCCATTGTGTTGTGTGGCATGATCACTGTGCTAAATGGAACAGAATTCAAACAGATCTAGCAACTCAAGACATGAGGCACTGTGGCCTAACAGCAGAATTGTACTCCAGCACAATGTGCAATCTCATGGCCCGCATATCCCCTACTCAATCATTACCATTAGGCCAGCAGGTCAACCCTGGTTCAATCGAGTGCACAGGAAAGAGCGTGCCAGGTGTCGTACTAGACGTACCTCAAAATGAGATTTCTACTTAGTGAAGCTAACTAGTAGGACGTGTTTATTTTGGTATCCACATTCACAAAGGAAAGGGATGATGTGTACATAGTAATCCAAGAGGAGTAGTGCGAAATATTGGACAAAATAACAAGAGAGGAAGTGTAAGGGGAGTTGGAATCCTTGAAAGTGGATAAGGCACCAGGGGCAGACTGATTATTCCCTAGAATGTTGATGATGGTCAGCGAAGAAACAACAGGTGCTCTTAGGATTTCTTTCCCATCCTCACTCGACACAAGGTGACATGCTAGAGGACTAGAGGAATGTAAATGTGGCTCCATTGTTTAAAAAGGCACAGAGGAAATTCCAAACAATGATAAACCAGTTAGTCTTAGTTCAGTGGTGGGCAAATTGCGAGAATCAATCCTGAGAGCGCTTATAAACTGTCACCTACAGAGGTGCCTATTTCTCAGACCTGACCCAAAACTTCTAAGAATAGAAGCAATTTATAAAATGATAAATAATAAATTACCTTGTAAATTGCTTCTTGTATTTTTCCTTTCAACTTTGAATTGCCAGTCTTCATTCCTGACACCAAAATTGTATCCCCTTGTTTGCCATGTTTCTCCATCTCTGATATGTAAGTAGGTGGTGTATAGGTAGATTCAGAAAACTTAAGTATCCTGCAACAAAAGTTTCTATTAGTTACACAAAACCTTACTTCTCTACAATAAAGAATCAAAGGTAGACCAACTCTCCACAAGTTTTTATAACAGCTGAGTCACGAATTGAAAATACTTAGCTCATAATAATTGTCTCTTGTCATGACACCATTTCTATTTCTGATACTAGACAATAACTGAAGGCTCAGTTCAAGATTCCTAAATCTGCTTCTCCATTAATGATTTGATGGTCAGTTTTCCCTAATACATTTTGAAAAATCTAACAAAAGGGCAGGGGAAATGTGTCTAAGGAGTGCGAAGCCATCCAATGTTGCAAAAATATTTTCAGGAGCTAAAATATTTGAGATTCCTGTTTAAATATTCCATAAAACATCACTGACTCTCTGTATAGTACTTATGCATAAAGTGCTTAGCAAAGTCACAAATAATAAAACCTTGACAATTAATGTCATGCAATCAAAATTACTAACATTAATCAACAAGACATCAAGTGGTAAATAAATAGTGCACACAAACCACCATAAGTGATTCCAACAGAATTAATTGATACTTCTTAAAAAGATGTTCAAATGAGAATAAATATTAATTTGGATAAATACGCTCTGCTCCCTTTAGCAATCAGACTTTACTAACAGTACTGGATCCACTGTTATTTGTCATTTATATCAACGATCTGGATGAGAATTTGGGAGGTATGGTTAGTAAGTGCACAGATGACACCAAGATTGGTGGTATAGCGGACAGTGAAGGTGGCTATCTAGAATGCAGCGAGATCTTGATCAACTGGGCCAGTGGGTTGAGGAATGGCAGATGGATATTAATTTAGATAAATGCAAGGTGTTGCATTTTGATGGGTCAAACCAGGGCAGGACTTACACAGTCAATGGTAGGGCCCTGGGGAATCTCAGGTTCCTCCAGTGTGCAAACAGGACCTTCGGCCCAACAAGTCCACACCGACGCTCTGAAGAGCATCCCACCCAAGCCCATCCCCCTACTCCTTTAACCTACCTAATCTACACATCCCTGATCATTATTGGCACGTTAGCATGGCCAATCCAACTAACCTGCACACCTCTGGGCTGTGGGAAGAAACCCACGTGGACACGGGGAGAATGTACAAATTCCAAATAGACAGTTGCCCGAGGCGGGAATCAAACCTGGGTCCCTGAGGCTGTGAGGCAGCGATGCTAATTATTGAGCCACCATGCCACCCAAATGTTATAGAACAAAGGGATCTAGGGGTACAGGCTCATAGATCCTTGAAAATAGAGTCACAGGTAGACAGGGTGGTGAAGGCAGCTTTCGGCATGCTTGCTTTTCATTAGTCAGAGCACTCAGTATACAAATTGGGACATCTTGTTGCAGCTGTACAAGAAGTTGGTGAGGTCACATTTGGAGCACTGTGTGCAGTTGTGGTCACCCTACTATAGAAAGGATATTACTAAACTAGAAAAAGAGTGCAGAAAAGATTTAATAGGACGCTACCTAGACTGGAAGATTTAAGTTATAAGGAGAAGTTGAATAGCCTACGACGTTTTTCCCTGAAACATCGGAGACTGAGGGGTGACCTTATGGAAGTATATAAAATCATTAGGGGCATAGATAAGGTAGATAGGCAACAGCTTTTCCCCATGCTAACAGAGTCTAAAACTAGACAGCATGGGTTTAAGGTGAGAGGGAAGAGATACAAAAGGTTCCATGGGGTAATTTTTTCAAACAGAGCGTGGTGAGTGTAACAGGCTGTCAGAGGTAGTGGTGGAAGAGAGTACAATTTCGCCATTTAAGAAATATTTAGAAAGCTACATAGATGGGATAGGTATGGAGGGATATGGACCAAACACAGGCAAATGGGACTAGTTAAACTGTGAAAACTGGGCAGCATGGGCAAGTTGGACCGAAGGACCTGCTTTTATGCTGTAGATCTCTATGACTAACAATAGCAACTGTCATGTACTTATGGCAGAACCAAAATCAGGTACTAGTTTACAATGGGTACTTCTAAAAAACGTGTAGCAGGCTAAGTTTCAGGACGGATTCATCAGATAGCAGAAAAATCAACAACCAAAAAATTATGGTCACTAAGCCTGCCACACATCACAAATTGAAAGCTCATCAATTCTAAGCACTTGCGGCTCACATTACCTCTTTCACTAATATCCAGTAGGGTGAAGCAAAGATCACTTTTAATTTAATTGAAACATGCAGAGCAAGTAGGAAAAGTCAGCTCGACATTCATTCTGAAAGATTACCCATTTGAAACTGGAATCATGGTAAACTGCCGAGGCTGGACTTCAACTTTAAGGGGAAAATCACGCTTTGTGCATGAACAGCAGAAAAACAGAACTCAGAAATCAATGATGAACTACGAACAAAAACAAAAACAAAAAGGTGCTGGAAAAGCTCAGCAGGTCTGGCAACAGTGAAGAAAAACCAGAGTTAATGTTTAAGGTCCGGTGACCCTTCCTCAGTTCTGATTTCGGACATTAACTCTGATTTTTCTTCACTGATGATGCCAGACCTGCTGAGCTATTCCAGCACCTTCTGTTTTTGTTTCTGATTCACAGCATCCGCAGTTCTTTCGATTTTTATTTAATGATGAACCATGGTGTGCCAAACATTTATTTGGCATGGAAGCAGAGGTTGGCACTTAACACGTCTTAATGATAACTGCAATATCAGACTGAAGTGCAGTACAACAGTGCCTAGCGCAACAACTGCCCTTTAAAGCAGCTGAGGCATTGGCTGAAAGGAGGTCATAGTAGTACCAGTAGTTGCCTGAAGGATGAAATTATTCTGCATACAGTTTTAAGTGGCTTACGCGGAAATCATTCACGGGCAGTATGAATATGAACACTTAATAAATGTTTCCTTTGTAATCTGCTAAGGATAAATTGGTAAGGGACTGAGTTCTGACAGCCCTTCACATTGACTTCTTAAAAAGAAGATCCATCTCCCCCATTTCAGCTTGGATAATTTCAACAAGGAGTTGCAATCTTAGTCATTTCACCCTTCCTTGAGCTCAAATGAATGAATTTGCACGAAGCAAGGCTTGTTAAATCCAATGGAAAGCACTAGGTGTGACAATCCATTGGGGAAGAGCACAGCACTACATCACAACTTAGAACCTATATATCAAGACTCCACAGGTACATAAACTCTGCTGGATCAAAACAACATTTAGATCAACAAATTGAAACAACCTATGCAGGAAAATCTTAAGACAAAACATTTCTCACTTATCAGTGAGGATTGCTTTATGATTGATGTGTTTGGCAGGGGAAAAGTAATTACACGTGCCAAACAATATGTCCAAAGACATGGTGAAACACTGATAGTGTTACCCTTTCACATGCTCTAGATTGATTAGTACAAGTACAAAGCACATCATTTTTCTCGATCACTGATTTAATCTTTGCACAACCTCTTCTGAAGTGGTTTGAAAATATTCACATTTATGTGGCATCACCTTTAATAAAACATTCAAAAGATTAAGTAATTATAGGTGGATCAGATACTTTAAAAGTTTCTCCATAATATTACATTTGCTCTGCTACAATGATGCCACTGATAAAGCAGCAATGCAAGGATTATAACATGACAAGGAGCGGGTACGGTGAAGACCTTGAGGCAGACAGTCAGAATCAGAACTAGTTTCTTTGGAGGTAATTGGAATTGTTTTTCCTCTACCACAGAGAAAGGAGCTGTCTGCTTGAGGAGTCTCTGAAGAACGAGATCAAGGCAGAATGCCAGTATGAGATTACGAGAGATTTAAAACGGCATGCAGCAGAGATTTTCAGTTTTGAGAGACTTGTCCGTTAGAAAAGAAAATTAGAAGTGAGGGGTCATTTGGAAACAACCTCAAACACACCAGGAATGGAATACCTGCACAAGAGGGGCGAGTTCCAAAATATTCAAGAGTTACACTGTAGGGTAAACACATGTTCATTGGGATCAAGTGCTAGGTGTGGGCTGAGTGACAACCTCTATAAGCAAGGGCAGGCAAGATTTTCTACTGCCCAGTTTTAAAGTTTATATGAAGTGCATTTAAACTGCAAGCAATGAGTTAGGGCTCATGGAACTCATTAAATAGTGTTTCATCTTCAGGAAGTAAATGGAAAGAGTTAGATGGTATACACCACCTGTGTAAAAAATTTACATAATTTAGCGTCATTCCATGACCATGTGTGCAGGAGGTTTATCTGACTTGGATGTCCAAATTTCAGCCCTGAAGCAGCAGTGATGTCACTGTGGAGTATGCATGAGGTTGAGATCTTTGTGCATTGTTCATGGTGAGATGGTCACATTGCTGTTAAAGAGGGCACAGGCAGAAAGGGAATGGATGACTCCTAAGCAGAGTAAAAGCACCAAGCAAATACTGCAGGAATGCCCCAAGTCCACCTCTAACTGATTTTCTATTTTGGATACTGCTGGGGGAGATGGTTTCTCAAGGAAATATGGTAAGAGCCAAGTCCATTGCACAGACACTGGCTCAGCTTCTTGGGGCCAATTCGGAGGAAGATGGTACTTGGCAATTCAGAGAGGTTGCACCCCAGAAGGACTAGGATCAATATCCTTACAGGACCATTTGCTAATACTGTGGGAGAGGATTTAAGCTGGAGTAGCAGGGGTATGGAACTTCAATGGAGAGACAAGAGTGAGGGAAACAAAATTGGAAGTGTCAGATAGAAAAGTATAAAGCAAAACTGGAAGGCAGAGGAAATAGGGGTTAGAAGCAAATCAGGGCTGCAAAACAAAAAGAGGCGTAAAAATGTCAAAAAAAAGGCAAGTCTAAAGCTATAATATCTAATTGTATGGAGCATCTGTAATATGGCAGATGAATCAACAGAGCAAATAATTGTACATGGATAATTAAAGATGTTAACTGAACTTCCAAAGATATTGAATCTTTGGGAAGAACAAAGAAATGCAAAAGGAGATCAGGTGGTGTTGTTAGTGAAAGCTAAATATCAGTGCAATTGTGAGAAAGGATGTCGGCATGGGAAATATGGATTTGGAATTGATCTTGGCAGAGCAAAGAAGCAACAAAGGACAGGAAATATTAGTGGGAACTGTCTATAGACCTTCAAATGGTTGAGGTAAGGAATGATATTAAACAGGAAATTAGAGATACATACATCAAGGAGGCTGCACCGAGTAATTTTAATCTACTTATAGACTGAGCTATCCACATTAGCAAAAACACAGCAGTGGTTGCATTCCTGAAAGCACAAGATTTAAAAAAAAAATACATTGAAGAACCAACTCAGGAAAAGATGATCCGAGATTCTGTTTTCTCCCACAAGAAGTGGTTAATTTATAATCTTATTGTGAGAGGTCTTCAGGAAAATGTGACCATAAAATGGTAGAATTCTTCATTGGGATAAAAAGTGAAGCTGCCCAATCCAAAACTAGATCCTTAATCTAAGCAAAATAAACTAATGTAGGAGGGATGAAATGGATCTAATAGCCAGGTTATCTTCATTAACAGACATGACAGTGCACAGGCAATGGTTAATATTTAAAGAATGAATGTAGGCATTACAAAGTTGTGTATTCCTTTGCCTTAAAAGGAACATAACACAAAAGGTGGTCCTGGAATGGCAGGTTTACCATACATGAGATTGGATTGACTGAGCTTGAATTCACTGGAGTCAAGAAGAATGATGGCTGCAATCTCTTTGAAATGTACAACATTGTGACAGGGTTAGACAGACTGGGTGCAAGTGTTGTGAAGTTGGGTAGAGTACTTGTGGATTGGGAGGCAGGAAGTTAGAATTTGGTGTTTGTAAAATGTTAGTGGGGTAAGGATTGAGTGATCCCTTTAAAAAGTTGTGCTTCTTCTATGCTTATAGATGTAAAATGGATGTGAGCAGCAGCTTGAAGGTATACAGAGAGCACCTAAAGTGAAACAGTTTTATCGAATGGCCATACAGCTAGCAGGCTAAGCAGCAGTTTTGTTACCAAGACAACAAGTTTTGAATTTAGCCTATTTGAACCAGGCACTTAGAGACCAAAAACCAATTAAATTTAATTGATACAAAACGTGTATGTCGTCAAGGGTATGAAAGAAGTGGTAACTGGGCAAAGACACGACAGCTAACTTCCATCTGCCAGAGTTAACAGCTCTCAGCTCGCAAGAGAGAATCACTGGATCTCACAGTCTAAGTCTTAGAGAAAGCACCATCTAAAGGTACCAATTAAAGACGTTAATATTCCTGAAAGAAGGATTGATACAGGAGGCATAGAACATTCCAGAAGTCCCGAAACCAGGCTGTAATTTTGAGAGACTAAATTCTATGTTTTTTATTTAAATAAGTGGAACGTGTATTCATTGGAACAACATACTATTAGAATCATCTTGTTTTATTCAGGAATAGTTAGAAGGGGTTTATTTGGTTTGTTAATAGTTTAGTTAATTTGTTCACTGTTAGAGTTAGATAAATAAATTGTTACTTGTTGATTGTAAGGTGAATGTTAGGGATTTATTTTTCTTAATCACTAGAAGTTGCTGAAGGGCAGATTACACCACTTTTCACATTCTTTTTACAGATTATAGGGCGAGGTGCTTCACTTTGGGTGTTCTGGTTTTAGTTCTCAAAGGGGAGGCAACCTCCCCTTTATAATACAAGCATGATGTTCTCTCTGGCTGGGGAGGCCAGAACAATGGGTCACAGTTTCAGGATACATGGTAAGAGAAATTTCTTCACTCACAGGGTGGTGAACCTGTAGATTTCTTAACTGCAGAAGGTTGTGGAGGTACAGTCAAATAAATATTCTTAGAGAAGGAATAGATAATTATCCAAAGCAAGAAGATTTGAGAGGTATGGGAAGAAAGTGGGAACGTGGTGTTGAGATAGAGGATCAGCCATAGTAATGTTGGATGACAGCGTATGCTTGATAGGCTGAATGGCCTACTTCTGTTCAGTTTCCTGTGTTTAACAAAAATACCTACCGCAATGCATTGTGAGAGTCTGCATATCCAGCAGCTTCTGTATCTTTTACTATGTTCCATTCAAACGCTAATCCAGCCAATGTGCTGAATGTGTTGCCTGTGAAAGAGACAAAGACAGCATGAGTATCAAAGCACTAGCTGCAAAAATTTGTGCTGCTATTGTTGCAAATTAAAGCTAGGTGATGGTGACCAGTGTCCATTTCAGGACATTCAAAATCAAGTCTCGACAGATGCTTGAAAGCCAAATGAAAGCCAGTATAGAAGAACTTCATGCTTCTCAAACTGAATAAAGTATCTTGGTGAAAAATACTTTTTAATGATAGGAGGGAGCAGTGTTTGCTGAGAAAGTGGGACAATTTGCAAAATTCAGTGCAACTTTGCTACAAACTGTTAGCAGTATAGGACAGGTTGTGTCAGTCAGTAATGGTTAGCTCTTTCTTCAAAGCTCAAAAATATTCAGTGAGCTAAACTAATTTTCTGATTATGCAACATTCTTAGATCAGCCATGACTTCTTCATATCTAAAATTGTAACTCCAAAAAAATGCACACCCGGCTTGTTTAGAAATCTTGCAAATAAGGAAGTGTTGGCAACAAGAGTTTCAATCTTTTGATTTTCTGCACAAATGAAATATTGGTGGAACACATACAAATGCAAAATGTAATTATAATGATTGCAATGATTCTACAACCCAAGAGGTACATAACTAGCATGACTATGTCTACTTTCCAAATGCATTCAGGAAACTGATTCCAAATTTTCAAACAGTGACTGATTGATATTGCACTGCACAGTATAGGAAAATGGACTGAATGGGCAGTCAACATGCATTGCAGGATTTCAAGTATTGCGAACAGTCAGAGGCGGCCATTTGGCCCCTTTAGCTTGCTCTACTAGTTAGAAAGATCACTGCTGATCTAATTGTAACCTAAAATCCACAATCCAGCCTACCCAGATAACATTTCAACATGAGCTTACAAAAAAAGTCATCCACCTCTACTTCAAAATATTCCAATATTCTGCTTCTACCATGTTTTCAGGCAGAGAGTTCCAAAGGTCAAGATTCCTCAGGATAACAATTATATTTGAAAACTGCTTATTGAAATAAAAGTATATTTACTTTCAATGTTATAATTTAAAATCTACAATATGCATGAAAGTTCTGCTCAAGGGAAAAGAATACATCCTTTCCACTATCCAGCTCTTGCACTGTTACAGCTATATACACTTTCTAATAGGGATGGTTGGTATTTTTTCACTTGCTTTCCACCATTTCTCATAAGTATTTCTTCAAATTGCCTTCTTCCCTCCCAGTTCACTGAGTGAAGTGTCCAAACAGAATTTAACAACACTGCTACTTCTGAATCCTTGCTGTTCCTTCATCACTCAGGAATCCAGCTACACTGTACTTTTGGGGTACAAATTCCCAACTTCACAAAGGGGCCCTCCTCGAGTTGATTGCCCCGAAGTATCACTGTGCCTCAACTAGTGCATTCACCTCCCAGTGCAGCAATAAACCAAATCTCTCATGGCTGATTTTTTGGGGAATTTTCTTAACTCAAAACCAGGGCCACAGGAATGAAGTCACTATAATTGCCTCAAGTGTGATTAGCAAAGAAAACAGGGAAAGAAAGAAAACCCATAGCAGCAGCAGTAAATAGCTCACAAAGTAAACTGTGTGTCAAGGAAACAAAACAAGTGTTGCATCACAGGCAGTAATGGGTAAGGGTTGTCATATCCTGCTGTCTAATTTAGAAGATGTATGCTTTGGTCAAGTTTCCACGGACACAAAAAAGTTGCTTTAAAAATGCACTAAAAGGCAACAAGAGTTTAAAGAAAGCACATCTTGGACCTCTAAATAGGCCACCTGGTTAAAAAACTGACAGACCCCTGGTTTACTTCACTTGAGCAAATCAGTTATGCTTTAAAACTCAAATCTTTATAGGAATCAATAATAAATCAGTTTGCTTTATCGCTTTGCTGGGCAATGTTTACTTTACACTAGTGCAATTCAAATAAAGACCTACAGTGAATTAGATGTTCTGGTAACTTTAAGATCAGCAACTTCAACTGTAAATTCAGGCAGTGTGCTGACCTCTCCATTGATAAGCTTTTTATACAAGTATTTTCTTGCTATAGGAGACCTGGTGGCATAGTGAAAATATCACTGAACCATCTATCCAGAGGCTAGGGCTGGAGCTCTGCAGCATAGATTCATGTTAACATAAGGTGGGAAAAAAAAACTAGAATACACCATTGCTAGAATACCAGTGAGTCTTAAATAACATTGCTATAATTTCCTAGCAATTACATAAAATTTTCTTGCAATTAAAATCAAACATGATTTTCAAAATGCTACTCATAGTAATCTAATGTCTTATTTTGGGAATTGATCAGTTCAATTCTCTAGATCTTTCACGTGATGCGAGGAGCACTGTCTCGGCCAGCATTTATTACATATCCTCAATGTCCTTTACAAAAGTGGTGATGCGCTGCTTTCTTGAAATGGTACAATCCCTGATGGAGGTCTGATGGGCCAAATTGCCTCCTTTTGCCTCTCTGTTGGTGGTATACCTCCAGTACTGATGAAGGCAAGTGCCAAGATTTTGATCCAGCAGCAGTGAATGTACAGCAGCCCAGTTGAAAGTCAAAGTGCTCTGCAGCTTGGAGGGGAACTTACAGGTGATGTTCCCATGTATCTGGTGCCTTCCAACTTCTTGGTGGTAGAGGTCACAGGTTTGGAAGGTGCCAAAGGAGCTGTGCTGCAATGCTGCAGAGCATCTTGTAGTGGTATACACTGTTACTACTGTGTGTCAGGTGAAGGGAGTGAATACTCAAGCTGGTGGGTGGTTGGGGTGCGAATCAAGCAGGTTGTTTTGCACTGGACGGTGTTGAGCTTCTCAAAAGCATAATCTACAACTGGCAGAAACTAGATTAATTATGTTGTAAATTAAGGAAGGTGAAATTCATGGAGAAACACCATGACAAGATTATAGCAGCAAATTTCGGAGTGAACATAAATAACAGTGTGGGTTATTAACTGGATTTGGGCATATCAGAAGAAATGCTGAGATAAGGCAACTGGAAGCAGAGAGGGACACTAGCTCAAGACAGGGGATAGCAACAGTGATACAGAGTAGCTACAAAAAACAGAGTCATACAGTCGTGAGTTAAGGGTTAGTCTGACTTGCGTCAAAGATTTATTCGTGGAAACAAAACGGTGTGAATGGGTACTCTTCCTGTACCTATTATGTTTGCTTGGTGTAAATACACTGGTCATTTCCACTTTGTCATGCTGCAACTGCCTATTCATTTGGATTACTTTCACACAACTTCTACAATTTCTATTTTTGTTTTTGAATGCTTATGGTTGGCCATGCAACAATAATATCATTTGTGGTCCATCCCTAATAGCCCATAAGTTGTCACTCACAGTAAGCCCATTGGAGTGAAGACAAGAATTGAACATGGGTAAAAGAAAAAAATAATTTCACTATATGAAGATTCAGTAACATTGATTTTTCTTCATGATTCAGCTACTGAACCATTTGGTCATCCACATCCAAATGAGAATTAATGCTTAAATATGCAAACACATGTACATAACATTCACAAAGCACATGTTTTTCAAGTAATTAGAATCTAGATTTTACCCACTTCTGAAACCCACTACAATGGATGTAACAACACATTTTTGTGGAGTGCAAAATGACAAATTTTGAAAGTGAGATTTTTCCTGACCGTTGCATTGGTCATGTTTTTTGTCTTTACAAGAAAATGCAACGTGCCTCACTTTTGAAAATTCACTGCAGTGAAAATCAACACAAAAATTTAACTGAAAACAAACTACTGCAGATAATGGAGATTCCTGAAATAGAAAGCAGATCTCACATCTGTATAGAGAGAAACAGTTAAAGATGACCGCCACACTTGCTGAGCTTCTCCAGCACTTTGCGATAAACGTAACGGTAGGGCCACTACTATTGCACGACATGAACCCCAGTCCAGAATTTATCTCTGTACAAAATTTCAATGCTGATTGCTAAGAAATTATGCACCTTCTGCATCCAAAGCTCGAATTCTCAATTTTAGTGGAGAATCTTCCAAATAAAGTTCACGAGTTGTAGACACAATTTCAATCTCGCTGATGACATCAACGATTGCGTCACACCGTAATACTCGCCCGATTGCTACAGGAGGAGAAAAATTGGACATTTAAACACACAAGAGGAATCAAGGGCAAGTAAGTTAAAAAAAAAACATATTTCACAAATACCAACAATCACCAAACTCAATTTAAACCATGCAAGATCTTCAAACTGGAAACAATAATTTAAACACTACCTATATTTACTTCTTTTGGAAAAAAAAGATGCATTTAGTTGGCTTTTGCATGGAATAGCAAGCCATTTCCCTAATCTTATTTATGACACTTCAAAACTCATTAGCTGAAATGTTTAATCTCTTTTTTTAAGTGCTTGCCATGATTCAATCATTTCTCACCCTTAATATCCAAAAAACAATTGTAAATCCCCAGTTTCTCAACCATTGGAGGTAGAAACAAAGCTAGCAGTGAATGAGGATATTCACAAACCAAGAAAATAAAAGAACCAAGGGTGCTGTTCAGTTGGGCCTGTAACAATCACAAAGTTCTTTGCATGTAGCAAGATGGCATGTTGCAAATTACAATGAATCAAAAACTATTCAAGTTATTAACAGGTACAGCTTAAAATACAACATTAAGCAATTAACACACTAAATGTGCGAAGAATATAAGTAAAAATCTCATGTTGTAAGGTCGAAACAGCATTGGTACATGCCAGTAAAAAGTTTAACCAATTTTAAATTGTCAACTCTGCTTTCAAAAGCAAGCAGAGAGGCGCTAAAGCGCACAAATGTGGCAAATCCAAGCCAAGCCCTGTTGAATTACACAGAAATCCAATACAGCTTGAATGAGATGTACTCATACATCTGCTAGACAAGAAATAATAATGGCTGACCAAACATTTGGCTATTTAAAACTTCATAACAATCCTTTAGTAAAATTTGTTAGGTACATATTAAGAGCTAAAAATTAAGAAATTTTTCAAATTGATTATTATTCAGCATAGAATTGGAGGCTAAGCTTACACAATGACGAAGAGAGATTAAAAACAAAAATGTAATGTTATTGCACAATAGTTAAATTTTAGCATTCAGAACACGGGCATTTATGCAGAAATATTATACCTATTTCTTCAGCAAAGATAATACTGGTGAGACGTGCTGGTTGAGATGCATGTGCCAAAACAACTGCGCTCTGTGAACACTGTCGATCATTTGGGTTTATTAGTTCAATACTCGCAACCTCTGGCCTTGTTGACCACCTGGCAAAAAAGGAGAATGATCAAACTTTTCTTTGATACTGTAATTAAACTGAAATTAAGAGATGTTCACAGCAGCAGCATAAAACAGCAATTTGCTACATAACTGTCAGGTTATGAAATTGTATGATTTTCCCCATCTATATTCAGCTTCACCAACAATCGAATCAGCAAGATAAAGCAAATCACTTTGCTTGGAACAGGAAGGAGAAGCTATACAATTCACTCTGGCCAGTCACAGAAATTTTCACACCCAAAACTTCCTAGTGGTAGAAGCATTCATAACAAAAACCCCCAAAAAAATTACTGTGGAGAAGTTTCTTCCTTTTGAAAGCATTTAATACATTGACTGATTGGAAAGTGGCACTCAAGGCAATTTTTTTTTTAAAAATTGAAGTCAAGGTTTATGATTGACGTGAAGTGCAATCAGAAGGCAAACATTTCAACAGCTGTACGGTTAAATGATACGAGTTATTCCATAAACTCCTAAATTCTTTCGCCACGCATTGGAGATTTAACATTTGCCCATTTCATTGTTAAGACAATACCTTCAGTCTTCTCTTTGCCATATCCATAATGATGTCTTGCTTTGTTCGCTTTGCAATTTTAGGACATTTTGTCCCAGCACAAAAAAACCTGAGGTCTAACAAATTGTGCCATAACCAAACAGATTTGATCTTAAGCAAAGGGTACAGCAATGGATTGGAGTTATTTCCATCCAGTTTGAAAAGTTAATAGTGAGTCTTAAAGTTCCAATATTGCATGCTATTACAGTGTATTTAAAGCACAGAAACAGGACTATCTGTTCAAAATATGGAGGCCGGGCAACATCAGAGGAGCAGGAAAGCTGACGTTTCGAGTCAGGACCCTTCTCCGACCCGAAACGCCAGCTTTCCTGCTCCTCTGATGCTGCCTGGCCTAATGTGTTCCTCCAGCTCCACACTGTATTACCTCTGACTCCAGCATTGGCAGCTCTTACTATCTATCAGCTCAAATGTCCATTTTGTGTTTATGCTCCACACACAGCCTCCTCTCACCTTTATCTAACCCCATCAAAAATATCTTCTAATCCCTTCTATCACATTTATTTGAGATTTGCCCTCATTAGATTTTAGTCCCCATTGGCTCTTGTTGCAAGAAGTTCCATATTCTAATCATTTTCTGCATAGTTTTTTCTCTTCTGTACCCCATTTCATTTAATAATATCTTAACTTTATCCCCTGCCTCAACAATAGAAACCTTAACATACCTACAACACTCTTAAATCGCAGTTGTGGTCTTCTAGAGAGGCCCAGCCTATTTAATTTTAGGTAATACAGATCCTCAGATTTGGTGGTGCTAACTCGTGATTGTTTTGTTTACAACTTCTCCAATGCTCCTTATATTTATTCTAAAACTGAGGACAGAACTTCTGACTGTTATTCTACACTTTAATGTAACTTCTCCGCTTTACAATTCTATTATACTTTTTAGAACAACATCCTTATTAATCTGTAACATTTGTATTCATTTTTACATTGTATCCCCACATATTATTTCCCTATTCTTCTTAGTAAAACGTATCACCTCACATCAATCTATATTGAAGCGCATTCACCAATTACACATCCTATCTGCGAGTTCAAAATCTTCTTCTAGTTTGCTGCAATTCCCCCTCATGTTAACAACACCATCAAATTTGATGCAGTCGTACAATTTCTTGTATTATTAAATCTGATTCCTAAGTACAGATCATTTATGCAGACATTCTGCAACGGTCTAAATATCACCGATTTCCACTTCCCTCTTGATGCCAGTTTAAGGAACTATTTTTTCCTCAAAAATATACTTTACATACAGAATTTGTAGAAGTATATTACTGTTCAAAAAAACGGCATTATGAAAAGAGCAATACGAATCATTTTCTTTTCAACCAGTATATGAGGTGTTGCACCACACTTGCCATTACAGGGCATATTCATAACATTTGTTTGCAATTCATGTCAAATGTTCTCCGTGCATACATTCTAGAGGGTACTTTAAACAAAAACACGTTCCATCCCCTCATTCTAATTTGTAAGAGTATGTCAAGATGATGGTCTTCCTTCACGGAGCTTTTGCAATGACTGTCTTAAGCTTTAGTGCATCCCTCAGAATATAATATTGCACCTTAGAATGTGTCAGTCTGAAAAACAGGACAGCTTTTTGTACTGAAAGGCAACATATTTTGAGCAGACAATGAATTTCTTGCAGAGAGTTGATGGTTTCCTAGTAACAGGTTATCATGTTGTGTACTCTTAGGAACAGCCTGATCAGAGCTGTTCGTCACGGTAGCTGTCTTGAGGTTAGCGTGCAGAGGCAGGAAGACCATGAGGATCCAGCAATGCGTGGCAAACAAGGTTCTTCTAAACACTAACCAAGCACACATTGGTGTCTATTTGAAAGGACAGGCAATGAAACAATCTACCCCAAGGACCTGATGCACTTGTAGAAGCATTTTCATGAAGATCAGGCAGCATAGTAGAGCCCAAATGAATGGACTGCTTGCAGTCAGTGTAACTGACTAAGCCATGTGCTTTAATAATTAAAATCATGAAGCATACAAAATAATTGCAAAACTTAAATGTAAGCTGTGCTTACATTTTCATGAACTCAGGTATCAGTAGACTTTTTTCCAGCAAGGAAGCACTTTGGATTTGTAAACTGTTATAATTATGTTAGAGATGAATAACCATCCAAATTACCACCTAGAAAGTTCAGTTTTGTTTATTCACAGAACCAGTACAGTGCAGAACGAGACCATTTGGCCCATTGTGTCTATGCCAGCTCTCTGAACATTTTAACTTGGTGCCAATCGCCTGCCTCTCCTCCATATTCCTGTTCATTGCTTCTATTTAATTTAAGCATCAAATGCCCTCTTAAATGCTTCAGGTGAATTTGCCTCTAACACTCTCTTGTAGTGAAGTGGTTGTGTCCCTACCCCAGGGCTGGGAGGCCTGGGTTCAAGTCCCACCTGCCCCAGAGGTGTGAGATAGCAACTCTGAACAGACTGATAAAAAATTCTTTTTTTCCAGCCAGCACATTCAAGATCCTCACTACTCAAAGACAGAAGGGATTTTATTGTACTGGGCATTTGTTTCTTTTTTTACCCTCCCCAAAAAAAAAAGCCTTTAAGTCTGTGCTCTCCAGTTTTAAATAATCCTTTTAAAAACAGGAATATTTTCTCCCTATCTATCCTGATCCCTTAGCATGCTGAGGATTTCTGGCTCTACCACCCTTTCAAGCAGAAAATTCTGTACACCCTACACTATCAAGGTGCATAACACACTTTCTTCGTGACTTCACTTTATCTTTTCTACAAATTATAATGAAAGCACAATAAATTAAAAATTGGATAATTTGAAACTCCAGTTGTGTTGAATTTGTCAACTGTTCATGTCAGAATTGGAAACCTGATAGAATGATGCCAGTTCCAAAGTTCCAACAGATAACTCTAGATTATCTGAACTCATGCAAGCTTATATCCACATTGACCAGAGCAGAACTAGGCCGCAGCACAAAATCACTGGCAAGCCATCATCGACATCAAGGTCGCTGTGAAACTCTGCGTGGCTAAACTGGAGAGAAAGTTAAAGGTTCTGTCAATTGGAGACAAAGTGAAGTTGATAAAACAAGTGAAAAACAGCGATGTAAAACAAAAATGATCACAGATGAAAGGGAGATTCCAACACAGGGTTTGTCAACCATTCTGAATCACAAGGTGCAGCAGTTCAACAAGTAGAAACTCTCTCCAGCAAAGAAGAGGATGAGAATGGCTGACATGGACAAAGCTTTGCCAATGTGGTTCAAGGAAATTCAAGCAGAGAATTGTCTGAGCTCACAGAGAAGGGAAGGGGAAGGGAAGCCTGAGACTCAGGGCCAAAAAAAGTGTTGACGTCTATTAACGAATAGCTGGACTAATTCAAGTCAAGGCAGAACATGACATTGCCTTCTGTGCACTAAGTGGCAAGGGTGCAGTAGATAAGCAATGACAGATGACTAGCTGTGTAATGGTGTCATGCATCACTGAACAAGTATCTACTAAATTGGAAAATAGGTAGTAGGTGGTACTGATGATGATTGGCGGTGGTGGGGGGGGGAGTGGTTAAACCAGTTGAGGTTTCCAGTAACAAGTTGGGGCGGCATGGTGGCTCAGTGATTAGTACTGCTGCCTCACAGCACCAGGGACCTGGGTTCAATTCCACCCTCGGGTGACTGTCTGTGTGGAGTTTGCACATTCTCCCCACGTCTGCGTGGGTTTCCTCCAGGTGCTCTGGTTTCCTCCCACAGTCCAAAGATGTGTAGGTTAGGTGGACTGGCCATGCTAAGTTACCCGTAGTGTCCAGGGATGTGTAAGTTAGATGGATTAGACATGGGAAATGCAGGGTTACAGGGAAGAGGGATGGGTCTGGGTGGGATGCTCTTTGGAGGGGCGTTATGGACTAGTTGGGCCAAATGGCCTGTTTCCATACAGTAGGGATTCTTAAGATTCTATGATACACATTAACAGTATGAGATGTGGACATGTCAAGATACGATTGGATAAATATGATCACATTTACTGGTTTGGATAATATATCGCATGTACTAACTTGGCATCTAAACCATGCAAACATGATTGGGTAAAGTTAGGAGTGAATAAAGTGTAAGTCATTGATTGGAAGTTTGTTATTTGTAAAACTAGTACAAAACCTTTTTTCTTGAGATTTCAGTTGTACACCAGTTTTGGATATCTCCCATGCATAAGTAAACATTTAAACTAAGGAAACTGAGTCTCATCTGGTCTACATGGAAATAAAGGGTTAATACTCACCCTTTACAGGAAGGGACATTTTTGTGACAGATGAAAACGAATGGTTTTACAACCTTTTACCTGATCACACTCGTGTTAAAAAGATGAAACTTGTCATTGCTATGGTTTGCATCAACATGGATGGCACGAAAAAGCTGTCATTTCTTACAATAGCAAAGTCGAAGAAGCCACA